ACCAACTAAGGAAGTGTGAATTTATTTTGAAACATCCAAAAAGAGAAAGTGTGACTTTCATTGTGAAACGGATGGAGTATTATCTAAGTTTATTTGGTCTGATATGATTTAAAAAATTCCACTTTTAGTCTCATGACTATTATGTCACTTCCACATTTTGTACGTGACTTCCAACTTCGCCACATCTTGTCCTTTCGTTTTCGTCCATTACCATTCCTCTTTTTTCTGGCGACAACTCCGACGGATTTAAAAATTTTAGAATTAAGTGAAGGTTAATTTAGTAATTTCAATTCCACTTTAACTTCTCCCTGCCTACCTCCATCTCCTTCGTAACTACCCTTCATAAATTACTCCATACATTGAACTCATTTCATCGTCTTCTAAAGTTCGTTTGATTCCTTAATCGTTGGCCCTCACCTCTCAACTCCTTCGTAACACTCTGCCATCATTCTCACCACTGAACCGCTAAGAACCCTACATGTCTACCAGTCAATTGGCTTCTGATGGTCCCGGATAGGGTAAAAGTCTAGAGGGGGGGGGGTGAATAGACTTTTAAATCTTTTCGACCTTTACAAATATTTCATTCTAGAAGAGTTGATCTATAATCTTTTGAGAGATTAATAGATGCACAGCGGAAGTCTTTACCCTTTATGTAATGTGTAACAGCTTTCTGTGATGGATGAAGTCTTTGTTTATTGGCGAGCAGTTGGCTAGGCAGTTGGCTAGGAAGCAGGGAACTGCTTAGTCGTCTGCTTACCAAATACTTGAAGTATGATGAGGGTTCATTCAGAATCTTTCTGGGAGTGGGAAGAGCTTCCTGATGATGTATTGAGGTGGATTGATAATCAACCTTAAATGAGAGCAGTTGTCTCAGCAGTTGGGTGGAAACCAGGAAACTGCTGAGGCACCTGCTGAAGTAAAGGTGAAGGTATGGAAGGTTTGATTATATGGTTTTGCTCAGGATGATGAGGGCTTTCTGAAGATGTGCTTTGGGCCAAGTAAGTAGAGGGTTTTACTTAGGCAGAGGTCTTAGGCAGTTAGGTGATAGTGAGGGAACTGTAGAAGTACCTGCTTGGTTATCACCCTGAATCACAGAGATTATTTTGAACAGACTTCTTAGAGATAAAGATGTAAAGGTCTAGTAATGTCAAGATGTTCATAGGAAATACTTTTGTGTGAGCAGTGGGCTCAGCAGTTGTGTAGTCCTTAGGAGACTGTTGAGGCAACTGCCATGCCGTAAGTGGTATTTCCTGATATCTTAATGAAACAGACCTTTTTGTTGTGATATTGTGAAGCTCTTGTATCTCAAAGAGAGTGAGTAATTAAGCAGTAGGATAAGCAGTTGGGTCAATTAAGACAACTGCTTAGGATGCTGCTGGCAAACTCCAATCTTTATGTGAGAAGTGTTCAGTGTGTGCTTTGTTGACTGAAAGTAAATCAACACACAGTATATCCTGGTTCAGAGGTGGTGTAATCCTCCTACATCCAGTCCCATCCTATTTCAAATGGATTTCACTAATGTATTAAGCCCAATACACTTAGTGCCAATCTAGCCTTGACAACTCTGGCCTAGATTGAAGGTGTTTCACGAGGAGTACAACACCACTCCAAGCTACTCAATCCTTTAGGTTTTTCTCAATTGATCCCGTGGGGATCAAAAGGTACTCCTGACCTATCTAACCACACTCAGGCCGGGAACAACTGTCCTCCTGAAGTGTTTTACAACACCTTGTGAATTACAAGGAATTTCTAGTCTCCAACTATGAACTAAGCTCTAAAAGTATTACAATGATGATCTATTCTAAGAGCTTAGTGAAGCATGAGTCAAAGCAGAGTTGCTAGATATTCTTAGAATGCTTATGGAATCTCTCTGCTTTGAACTCAAAAACTTAGTCGCTTTAACTCATGCTTCGGTCTACCTTTATAGGCATCTCCGGTAGATTAATCTCATCCGTTGGTTGAGATGATTTAATCTTGTTCGTTGAATCTTGATCGCAGAGGATAAACAACTTGTTGTTTATCTTTCTCTTCGGAGCTTATGGGATCTTTTTGTTTTGCCCGCCTAGCCACTGTAGATTTCTCCTTAGGCTTCAGACTGTGTGCCCATGTTGTACGTCGATTCTCCATGCTGGATAATTATTGGCTCTGTTTTACCCGTCTTGGTAAATTTGTTTCGAACATAACAATTTCTGAGTCTAATAAAATTATACTGGTAGGATTTAAATATCCTATTAAAGGTAAATAAATTTACCTTATTGCATTTTTACTGTCCAGTAATAATATTATTAGTCTTAGAAATTTTACATTTATTTGTTCTCTCTTTGACACATTTTTCACACCAATATGCCTTTTGATAAAAATGTTCGTAATCAAATAAATATATACCGGTAGGATTTAAATATCCTTTTAAAGGTAGTATTTACCTTATTGCATTTTTTCTTTTCCGGTATAATTTATTTGATACATACATTTTTCTTTTGACTTCTGGTCATACTTGATTGTGATTGGCCCAACTAGTATTTTGAACTTAGACCATTAATTAAACTGGTAGGATAGAAAATCCTATTAAGGTAAAGATTAATACCTTATTGCATTTTTGTGTTCCAGTTTAATTAATTTTTCCAGTCAAAATCTTTTAGTGCTTCTTATGTAACAAAATAAATTTAACTGGTTGGATTTGTAAGGCATCCGTTTAAGGTAAAAGAATATTACCTTATTGCATCTTTTTTCTTTTCCAGTCATTTCTATTTTGTTCATTAGTATTTCGGACAAGACACTTTTGAACAAGACTTTACAAAAGATGAATCTGCTAGAGAGTAAAATACAAACATTTGAATGCTCACAAAAGATGGGGATGACATCATCAAAATCGTTATATCAAAATCTAGGGTCTAATAGCTTCTTCAAAATCAATAGGGCAGTATGAATATGGAGAGTGGATTCCGGTGAAGCACTGTCAATGTGGCCAAGAATTGAAGCTTTTGACAACATAGAAACATGATAACTGTGGGAGAAGGTTTTACAAATGCATCGGAAGTGAGGTAATGGACTATTTTGAACATTGAATGTTTTTGGTTATTTGAATTGAGCACATGATTCTTTTTTTTTACTCCAGGGGGGTCTGGGGGAGTGGGGTTGGGGAGCCTGGAGTAATCAAGGCTGAAACTCACTCCATTGAGTTTCAAACCCTTGTGTGCCTAGCGGGTTTCGAACATGAGACCCTCCACTAGGCACGGTAACCTCGCAACCAACTAGGCTGGAATGCTTGATTATTGAGCACATGATTCATCAGCATAATGTATTACAAATGTCATGGGTGTGGTTTCATGGACTGGTTTGATTCTCCAATGTGCAAGAGATCACAAAAAAATTATTCTTGGGTTGCTAAAAAATTTGAATGGCTATGAATACCAAATGATGACATTGCACATGAAAGTTAAAAACTTGCAGACGCATGAAAAGGAGAAGAACAAAATGAATGTGAATAGATGCTCATTGTCTTCTGTGATATCAACATCTCTTCTTATTAGATTCAAAAAACAAGACCAAGACTCCTTTGTTTCCCCCTCAACAATAACATATGTCAATGGAAAATGTTATTGTTTGCATCTACCCCTACTGCAATTAATAACTGACCCCCTGTTATGGTTTTTAGATGAGTTCCATCAACCCCTAGTACTGGTCTGTAGCTTTTAAACCCTTTTTGAGATGCTTCCCAACACATGTGCATCCTCAAGAATCTTTGTTGGTCATCTCGCTCTATACTTTCACTTAACTTAACAACGCATGTGCTTAGTGGATTGATCCTTCTAATTTCGGCCACATAACACCAGATTTTCTTAAAGTAGTCGTCATTTTCACCTCTAAGCTTCCTTTTTGCCTTGCTCATTGCTCTATAAGCCTGCCTTCGACTCACATGAAACCTTTCATCAATACATACCTTTTCTCTGAACTATATGTTCTTCCAGTTGGAGTGATTTTTTATCTCATTTAATCACCTATTAGCAACCTTGGTTGAGTTTACCATCTTGTTGTGATACACCTAAGAGCACCCTCCATATGTGTTGTGGTATTGTAGTAACCTCCAAGAGTGGCTATTTATTACCTTTCTGAGATTTATTTTCCATGGACAACCAAAGTGCTTGCAGTGTGGATAATAACCTTTTCCTTATCACTTTTTACAAACTTCAAGTCCTTACCGATCTTAAAAGCATGGTTCTCAACTGCTTCGTTGAATTCTTTCTTGGTAGAAAATGCAATCCCAGCTTGAAGGTAGGATTTTGCATATTAGTCCGGTCACATAATTCACTCCACTTATCACCATCGGAATCTGAATCATGTATGGAAGCATCATCTTCAAAATTTGGTTCAGGATCTACCAATGATGGATGAGTTTATGTGTTTTGTTCTTCGGTGTTGGTGTGCAGCCCTCCATACTCAGCTGTGGGATCTATGTTATTTGAAAAATCAGCATCATCTTTAGAGATAAAGTCCCCTAGATTAGAATCTTCATCATCCCCGGAAAATTCTTCTAGATCCTCACTGTAAGCAAAATCACTACCAGACAAGTCATCATCTACATCTTCACCTTCATCCACTCCATCTAATTCAACCAAAAACTCCACAACCCTACCCACATTTCCATCATTCACAAACCCCCAAATCTCTGAGTCACCTTTCAACTCTTGTAATGAACATTGTGAATAGGAATATACTCTTCTTACCTTACAGGGGAAGCTCGGCCCGCTCAATCCTCCCCAACCGGGTAAAAGCCCGGGCCCGGTTAGCACCAACCGGGCCGGTCCGGACCCACACAGTAGCGGGCCGGGCCGGTTTTGGGCCGGGCCGAACCGGTTGGATCCATCCCTACTCGTCCTCCGTACACCAACTTGAGAGTAAATGTGGTTTCACATGGCGCTGTTTCATAAAAAGCATTCCATGTGGAAGGTCAATTATTCAAAGTGGTTCCCACAACCAAATAATAAATACATACACATACATAATAGAAAGACTAAGAATACGAAATTTTCAAAGTACAATACACACAAACCATTACATAAAGTTAACTACTTTATGGATGGAGGATAATTACAAATCTCAAGATTATGAATCACATACATACTATTTTTTTTCATCACAATAATAATGATCAGGACCATCAGAGTCAAAATTGCTATATGGACATGGGTTTTTCATAATTTCAAGTAGTTTCTGAATCTAAAATATCTTTCGGGAACAAAACCCTGAAAACGGCATAGTGGTGATTCAAGCTTCTTTCTCCTTGTAACCTGTGAACACTTCCCAGTGCACCAGCATTGTGATTTGGGAAAGCATAAAATATACGCCTAACTCTTTGATGGACAAGGGCCATTGCACACCTATACGAAAGCAAATCTAAGATTCAAGGTGGCCATGTATTTCTTAACCAGCATGTCTAAAAATGAACGAAAATGTACGGTATATATATGACAAATCTGAAAATTTCTTCATTTTCTCGATTAGTATTATATCTTGGCAACTTATGATGCAAAAGATAAAATCTCTAACCAAAATAAAAGAGGGGGTTAGGGGAGAGGGGAGAGATAGAGAGAAAAGAAGAACTCACATTATACATGGTTCCCAAACAAGGTAGATGTCATAGCCTGTACATAAATAGGGTCTGCTTGATTCAGAAGGGTTTACAGTTTGCAGGTCATCCAAACCGTTCACCTGAAAGAAAACTTTCATGAAAGAGTGGTGGAAATTACAATTGTTTGACATTTTTAGTCTATCAATTTAAAGTTCGTGAACATAAATGAGACTGCAAATGCTACAAAATAAAGACAAAATTCATAAGAATAATCCCAGCTTTCAAAGATTCTATAATAATTACCCCTAGTGAGAGTGTTCATAACTTTCCATCATTTGCAATGGAGCCAAAGATTCATTATTTTTTGGCTTGAGATTATGATGGAATAAAGCAAAATGGCTCACTAAACTGTCTGCGCTTCTTTGTTATGAAGCAGCAGTCAGTCCATGCAATTTTGGACGGGATTTTCACTATGGGTCATCCGGAAACAGTCTCTCTGTGCTTTAGTACATGGGTATGAGTGCGTACATCCGACCCCCCTTACCCCACCGTAGGTGGGAGCCTTTGTGGCACTGGGGTAAATGAAAAAAAATGAAAATGAGAGTGTTCATAAAAAAGTCGAACTAGCAATGGTGTTCACGGGAATAAATTGGGGTGAATTCAAACAAATGCCCATTTAATACTCGCAATTCCCTACTCCCACTTTCCCCTTCCCCGCCCTTCTTCTCGAGGCAAATTCAAACTAATGTTCGCTTAATCTCAACATCATTTCCATCATATGTGGTTCCCTTTAGGTTGGAAGATAGAAGTGCTAACCAATGTGAAGAGTGGGGAAGGGGGAAGTGAGGTAGGGGTTGGGAGTATTAAACAGGGATTTGTTTAAATTCACCTCAATTTATTCTTGTGGATACCATTGCTAGTTTGGATTATTTTTGTGAACACTCTTCCCTTAGGCTAGAATCCTTTAAAGTAGGGACTATTGTTATGAACTTCGCCAAAAAATAAGGGTAACTGAAATTTAATGTGTACAAGTTTTCACACACTTCCTGCTATTAGATATAGATGTTTGTGAACAAAGAGAAACAGGTAGCGTACATCTGTTGGATTGATTCTTTGTTTTTTTAATGGACAACCAACAAGAGGAGAAAGCAAGCAATCCTCCTGAAGAAAATTGTTTACTGTGGTAGGAAAAAGCCGCCTATCCCTTGCAGAAGACTGGTCAATAGCAACAATAGCCGCATGCCGTAAAGGATGCCAAGAACTGAGGCTGGGACGAAATTGGTGATCCACCCACTTCCAGGGATGCAAACATGAAACATTATTATCATTTAATGATGACAAAGCCTTTTCTGAGGAATCATCTGCAGGAAACTTTGGTTGGTCAGCCATATCAGTTGCTTTATAGTGAGGGGAGGCTTCTGGTTGTCTAGAGCAGCTTATACCCTCCTTGACCTCATTTCTGGACCCATTCAAAGATATCACTTCATCACAGGCACTTGCAATCACCTTGTTGGTTGAAGGGTCCACAATTATGGCAGCATTTGTCATCTGTGTAGAAAATTAACATAGAAAGTGTGAACAGTGTATGACTCAACCATCATAAGAATGTAAAATCAGAGGTTGCAGAACTCTTTCATTTCTGTCAAATACACGGGTAAACATCATAACATGCCGCAAAAATTCTTAAGAGCCTCGCACTAAAAGCAAAGAAAACACATGTACTGATGAACATATGAAAACCATATCCTATGCTCATTCATCACACATATAATTCGAGCTTGTTTACAAACTCATGTACTTAAGACTCTCGCATTTAGGACAATTGTTTTCATAAAATTTTAGCTGCTTTGAAAAGTTGGGAATTTGTAACTTATCATTGTTTTTCAGCAGCATGATTTCTTCTTTCAACTGTTTTTGTAACATTTTGCATTGTAAAAGCTAAATTTTTGTTGCACCCAGACGAGATTATTTTTTCCCAACACACTTATCACTTTATCAGCAAACTTTACACAAACTAAATTGATTTGGATTATTACCCAATTATGACTATAATAGACGATATGATAATATCTATGATCAATTACAGTATTATTTTACATGCTTCCTAGAAAAGGATTTTTGCGTTATCTGTTATTCCAGTAAATCATTTTTTAACTCTTGTCAATATGGGAGAAACCGACTGAAGAGTGAACAATTGAAAAAAAAAAGAGTAAGACCAAAATATCTGACCTGAAAGGAATATTCATGTTTCCTAAATGCGAAAAGGGGCTTAGAGAGAAGCACTTACCAGGCCATAGTCGGATTTTGCATTATTACAAGCCAATTGCATGAAACTGAAAACTAACTGTGATTCCGCTTCATTGAACCCTGTTATTCCACTTATGTTGCTGTAACCGAAAGAATGTACATTAAAGTCACAAAGTCAAACATAATAAAGTTATAAAGTTATTGCAGAGGAAGATCCTTTAAACTTTAACTCACTATGTTGGTGGATGGAAGGAAGTCGGCCACAGCTTACATTGTTCTTCCCATTCTTCTTTCGTTGATGCGGCATACTTGCAGACCTGAACCATTTGGATGAAACTCATAATACTATATATCTAAGGTGACTTTAGAAAATATAGTATATACCAATAGAAAGTAAAAAGCATAGGAGTATTAGCAAAATAAACTATGGCAATATTTAAGATATAAAACATGGGACTTAATATTGAGCACTATAATTGATATTCACCGATATAAAACAGGTAAGAGACTTAATAGAATAAGAATATCAACCATATGCTATTTTATTTTTTCTTGATCTGCGAGATCATATGGAGGTCATATGCCAGAGAAAACATAAGTTCATCATGGACATAATAAAAAATGCACAAAATTGCACATTGCTATGAAATCTAATAGATAAAAGGGTGACCCACTTTTGCTATGAAAGTACTCAACTGGTATGCTTTGACAAGCTCCAGCACATCACTCGGCATGTCACTATCACCTTCCATTAACACTGACAAAATCAATGATAACTGAGGTTTTCCTGTCAAATGCACATTTTATTGTAAACTCATCAAGAAAATAGACACTGAATTTGCACATCACCTTGGTGTAAACTCTAAGTATCTCATTACCTCCATCAAGGCACTTCTTGCGTATGCGCTTTACATGCCGCATATTTTCCATTGGACAGATGTTATTCAACTTCCTAAAGATTGGGGGGAGTAAAAACGAAACCATAACTAAGCACAGTCTGCTTTCTTTAATTTAAAGCTTAATAGTTCTGAAAAAAAGGATAGGAGCTTGATCTGGTTTAGCCAATCCAGAACTCCATATAGATCATAATGAAACAATACAACCAGGAGAGAGCTGACCTTACTAAAGCATTAGCATCTTTAGGTTCAACTTCAGCAGCGTAGACTTTAACTGAAATATCAAATATGAATAAAGCAAGCTTTGAAATTCAATGATAATAAGAGTTGTGAGAGCAATACGGTTTGACTAGCATACCGGTGGGTTGTAGGTGAGGCAGAACAGGAAGTTTATTGGGAATGTGAACAATTGCCCAGCCGCAGTCAGATGTTGCATCAGCTTCATCGCTTCCATTCATGTTCATTTAGACGTTCCCGGGTGACCAAAGGAATTAAGGAGAAATTTTCTTCGATTGATCAGATGAGCGTGGGGGAGAATTTCTCTCCGGCGAGGGCGAAGTGAACAATTGCCCAGCCGCAGTCAAAGCATTATAGATATATAGATATATTTTAAGAGATAGATATATAGATAAAAAGCTCTAAATTACTTCTTCTTAATATCTGAATAATTTCTGAATTTCTGAGTTTCTAAGTTAATTTACAAAGAATTGAATTAGCCCTATTTATACTAGCCAGATTTAGGGGATGAATCATCTATGAATGATTCTACACAATTTGCTGGCAGTATTAGATCTACCCATCTGTCTAACTATGATTACAAGGATATAAATTAGATGAGTAAGCTTATTACAAGGATCAGAAGTAGCTTGGTGTCCTAATGACAAGGATGGACATTCACACTTGTCAATTTGGTGATTTTACAACACTCCCCCTTGAATGTTCATCCTTGAATACATATTTGTTATTTTAAAAATTTATTGTGAAAATTGTAAAAATTACGACTTATAATGTCATTGTATTTGGATGTACTGTCTCGTTAAAAACCTTATCAGGAAAAACCCAGTGGGATAAAAACCTGATGAAGGGAAAAAGAGTGCAGTGCATTCAAATACTCCCCCTGAATTTAGTATAAATTATGAAGACGTCGCATGCCGATTTTCTGTACAAGTTCCATGAACTTCTTAGGGGGTAAAGATTTGGTGAAGAGATCGGCTGGATTTTCACTGGATCTGATTTGTTGAATGTTGATCGTCCCTTCTTTCTCGAGATCATGAGTAGAGAAGAACTTTGGTGATATGTGTTTTGTTCTGTCTCCTTTGATGTAGCCTTCTTTAATCTGAGCTATGCACGCAGTGTTGTCTTCGTAGATCACAGTAGGATGACAAGTAATAGACTTCATACCACATTCATTTTGGATGTGTTGAATCATAGATCGTAGCCACACACATTCTCTTCCGGTTTCATATAGTGCAATTAACTCAGAATGATTTGACGATGTAGCTGTCAATGTCTGCTTCATAGATCTCCATGAGATTGCGGTGTTACCATAAGTAAATACGTACCCGGTTTGTGATTTCGCCTTTTGAGGATCTGATAAGTATCCAGCGTCTGCATATCCGATTAAATCGGCTTTTTCATCTTTGTGGTAGAATAGGCCGAGATCAGTTGTACCGCGAAGATAACGGAATATGTGTTTGACCCCGTTCCAATGACGCCTTGTTGGACATGAGCTGTACCTAGCTAATAAATTTACAGAAAATGCAATATCTGGTCTAGTATTATTAGCTAAATACATTAAAGCTCCTATAGCACTCAGATATGGTACTTCTGGACCGAGTATTTCTTCGTCGTCTTCTTGGGGACGGAATGGATCATCATGTATGTTGAGAGATCGAATGACCATTGGTGAAGTCAAAGGATGAGCTTTGTCCATATAGAATCTCTTCAAAACTTTCTCGGTGTAATTGGATTGATAGATGAAAATTCCATTCTTCAAATGCTCAATTTGAAGTCCGAGACAAAATTTGGTTCTCCCGAGATCTTTCATTTCAAATTCTTTCATAAGATATTTTGCAGTATTTTCAATTTCATCGGGAGTTCCAATAATGTTTAAGTCATCAACATATACTGCAATTATGACGAATCCCGAATTTGATCGCCGAATGAAAACACATGGACTAATCGGATCATTCTTGTATCCTTCTTTGAGAAGATATTCACTGAGACGATTATACCACATTCGTCCAGATTGTTTTAGTCCATACAATGACTTTTGTAGTTTAATGGAAAACATTTCTCGTGGTTTCGAGTTGTAAGTTTCAGGCATTTTAAACCCTCCAGGAACTTTCATATAAATGTCTGTATCGAGTGAACCGTATAAATATGCAGTCACTACATCCATTAGGCGCATTTGCAGCCTTTCAAAAACAGACATGCCAATGAGAAACCTTAATGTAGTTGCATCAACTACTGGAGAATAGGTTTCTTCATAATCAATTCCCGGCATTTGAGAAAACCCTTGGGCAACAAGTCAGGCTTTATATCTTACAATTTCATTTTTCTCATTGCGTTTACGCACAAATACCCATTTAAAGCCCACCGGTTTTACGTCTTTTGGCGTAGGGACTATCGGTCCAAAAACATCACGTTTTTCAAGTGATTTTAATTCAGCCTGAATAGCTTCATTCCATTTTGGCCAATCGTGTCGTTTCCGACATTCTTCTATTGATGTTGGCTCATTGTCATTGTTTTCATTCATAACATTTGTGGCAACGGCATAGACAAATATCTCATTAATATCAATATCTTTACGATTCGATTGCATTCCAGTAGAAACGTAGTTTATTGAAATTTCATAATTATCAATGTTTCTATCATTATCTGGAATATCTTCCTCATATAAGGAAGTTGGATCATCATTTGAGATATTCGTTTTGTCAATATCATTTTCTATGCCAATATTTTCAAATTGTTCATTTTCTTGTTCAGAAGGATGAACATCTTTGGCATCACAGATCGATTCCTGCCTTTTAGTTTTTCTTGGTTTTATATCTTTCGATCCAAGTGGCCTGCCACGCTTTTTGCGTATAGAAGAATCATTTGCAAAAGATTTTTCAGAATTCTCTGTTGGGATTTCGATTCTGGCAGGGGCATTCATGGCAGGAATATGTGACTTTGTCACTTTCTTTGTGTCTGTGAATGCATCAGGCAACTGATTTGCAACATTTTGTAAATGGATTATCTTTTGCACATCTTGCTCACATATATTTGATTTTGAGTCAAGATGTGATAATCCTGTTGCATTCCATGTTATTTCTTTCGTACTTGGGTCCGATTTATTAGTTTCTCCCCCTAAGGTTGGGAATACTGTCTCATTGAAATGACAGTCAGTGAACCGTGCGGTGAATAAGTCACCAGTCATCGGTTCAAGATATTTGATTATTGAGTGAGATTCAAATCCAACATAAATTCCCAACCTTCTTTGAGGACCCATTTTTGTACGATAAGGTGGAGCAATCGGAACATAAACAGCACAACCAAATATTTTAATGTGTGCTAAGTTTGGCTCTTGTCCAGTAACTAATTGCATTGGAGAATATTCATGATACGCAGTCGGTCTAAGCCGAATTAAATTTGCTGCATGTAAAATAGCATGTCCCCAAGCTGATGAAGGTAAATAACACTTCATTAATAATGGTCTAGCGATTAATTGTAATCGTTTAATCAAAGATTCAGCAAGACCATTTTGTGTATGGACATGAGCAACAGGATGCTCCACATCAATCCCAATCGACATACAATAGTCGTTAAATGATTGGGATGTAAATTCTCCTGCATTGTCAAGTCGGATTCTCTTTATAGAATGGTCCGGAAAATGAGCTCTTAATCGTATGATTTGAGCAAGGAGTTTAGCAAATGCTAAATTTCTAGTCGATAAAAGACTAACATGTGACCAACGTGTTGAAGCATCAATCAACACCATAAAATATCGAAATGGTCCACATGGTGGGGCTATCGGCCCACAAATATCTCCTTGAATCCTCTCTAAAAATGCAGGTGGTTCAGTTGCAATTTTGTTCATTGAAGGCCTGATGATCATTTTGCCAAGAGAACAGGCTTTACAAGGAAAATCGCTTGATAATGGAACCCTGATATTCTTTAATGGGTGTCCAAGTGAGGTCTTAATGATTTTATGCATCATTACTTGGCCTGGGTGACCTAAACGGTCATGCCACAACATGAATGTTTTCTGATCATCCAACTTTGTGTTGGAAACCAAATTTATTTCAAATGGACTAATATATGTGGAATATAGTCCTGAGGAATATGCTGACATTTTTTCACAAATATATTTAGTGCCAGATTTAGTTGTTGTAAGACAAATATATTCCTTTTGGTTTTCATTCACGGTTTCTATGTGATAACCATTTTGACGTATATCTTTAAAACTTAATAAATTCCTCCGTGATTTTCTGGAGTATAAAGCGTCATTTATAATTATTTTGGTCCCGTTAGGGAGCATCACATATGCTTTCCCAGAGCCTTCAATGAGCTTTGCAACACCTGATATTGTATTGACTTTAGCTTCAACTAAAGTCATTTGAGAAAAATATATTTTGTTTCTCAGAATGGTGTGCGTTGTGGCGCTGTCTATTAGACATAGCTCTTTATCATTTGAGTGATCCATATCTTCAATATGTGTAAATAAACATAAGCTTGATCACAAATTGTGCATATAATTTAACATAAAGTACATATATTACACACATTTATTTAAAAAACAAAAGAAAAAGGGGAAGAAAGAAAAAGTACATAAAACTAATATGTTACAACATAAGGATCGGAGTCTTTTATTTTGTGACATTTTGGTTTATTGTAAAAGCATCGTCCATAATGGCATTATCCGCGAAAAAGTCGGACACGTCAAATTTTGGCATTGGCGGAGTTGTATCATTCACATAATTAGCTTCCATATTATTGCCTTTGTTCAAATTCATGGAAGATTGAAATAACTCCACCAGATGTTTAGCCGTGCGACATTTATTAGCCCAATGCCCCGTCATGCCACATTTATAACAAGTCGTCTTTACCGAGGTTTTTGTAGGGCGATTTATTTGATGAGCCTTTTGTTTGCCCTTGCCCTTGTAATTCGATCTTTCGACCCGTTTATATCCTCTGTAAGACTTGTTATTATGACCACTAAAATGCCCACGTTTAAAATGCCTTCTACTGCCACTGTGTGTTGCATTTGATTCAGTGGCTAAATTATGGCCAGATGGACCATAAATCGAAGGACTAGAACCGGTGGGTCTCAAATTGTGGTTTTTCATCAAAAGGTCATTGTTTTGCTCAGCTACCAATAATACTGATATTAAGTCAGAGTATTTTTTAAAACCCTTTTCTCTATATTGCTGTTGTAGCAGCATATTAGAGATATGCATAGTAGAAAAGGTTTTCTCCAACATATCAGCGTCAGTGACTTTTTGTCCACATAACTTTAATTTGGATGTTATTTGGAACATAGCAGAATTATAGTCACTGATAGATTTAAAGTCCTGGAATCTTAAATTGATCCAGTCATACTGAGCTTTTGGTAAAAGTACCTTTTGTTGGTGGTCATACCTTTCTTGTAAATTGTCCCATAATTCTTTTGGGTCATCAACCAAAAGATATTCAGATTTGAGACTTTCATGGAGATGGTGACGGAGAAAAATTATGGCTTTCGCTTTATCTTGGGAAGATGATTGATTAATAGCCTCAATAGTGTCTTCGAGACCATTAGCCTTCAAATGTGCTAAAGCATCAACTTTCCATTCCAGGTATTTTTGCCCGGATAGATCAAGAACATCAAATTCTCTTTTGTTAATATTTGCCATGATACTACAAGAATCATTAATACAAATTTATTACTAAACATTTTACAAAAAAAAAAAATATTATGAACTTTAGAATATAGTTTAAATATAGGCAATAATGTACGTACTGTTTTTAATTAATTCTACGCATTCATTTGATTCAATATTATTAAAATTAAATGGGCATCGGTGTAGTGTTTAGATAAACTATGCTTCGTAGTATCAAGGATTTCTGAACTTCATTAAGTGCAACACTTATTAGAATTCAAAATAAGTTACCCAACGATAGAGTTTGGTTTTATACTACCCGTGACACAGATAAACTCATGCAGGCTGAGTACATCCTAACCAGTACCCACTGCGTTAAGCTTTTATCTGTTTTTGTTTTGGCAGATAATAGAAACAAAAGTAACCGATCGCGAATAGCAATAGCAATTCTTAAATTTTGCATGTGGCCTGATTGCATGTTAATTGTCTGACCATATGTCACATGTAACAATCTGTAATAGTTTAAGTAGTACTATCGTATTTGAATAGTCTAGAACCCTAAAAGCAACACTCAAATTTTGTTATTATAATATTAATTTATACTATCGAAACATATCCGTGAGTTGCATTCATTTTAGTTCTGAACAACGGCAATATTAACTTCATCTTTATATTCAAACTGTTTCTCCTTTATCTCTTTACTTCGTTTACCCCTTTCACTTGTATACTACTGTATTATTACGATACACAATCTTCTAATTTGTTTTAACAAGTATGAAGTATGTTTTCTCAAGTCATATAATTCTTCGGATACATCACTTGAACTATATATCAAGATAAAAGAAGAAGAGAAATATCCTGAAATCTTGAAGCTAAGGTATGTATATTATTCATATTTTCTTTCATTCTTTTGGTCTAATTATGATGTGTACATTTTATTTAACAAGAATAGAACTGAGCTTTCTTTCAAAGTTTGAATACTAAATTGTTTATCATGCATGCATGATTACTTAAAAGTAAAGGAGATAATATAATATTATTGTTAATACCTGCAGGAGTGATGATTTCTTGAAGGTTTTGAGCAGATTCGTGCTGATAACGTGTTGTGAAATGAAGAGGATGAAGATCAATTTTAAGAGATAGATATATAGATAAAAAGCTCTAAATTACTTCTTCTTAATATCTGAATAATTTCTGAGTTTCTAAGTTTCTAAGTTAATTTACAAAGAATTGAATTAGCCCTATTTATACTAGCCAGATTTAGGGGATGAATCATCTAGGAATGATTCTACACAATTTGCTGGCAGTATTAGATCTACCCATCTGTCTAACTATGATTACAAGGATATAAATTAGATGAGTAAGCTTATTACAAGGATCAGAAGTAGCTTGGTGTCCTAATGACAAGGATGGACATTCACACTTGTCAATTTGGTGATTTTACAACATTGGGCAATTTTTTTTGGGAAAAATTAAGGAAAATGTGCTCGTTGTCCGGCCCGTTTTCAGATAGGGTCATGTATTTCATTCTTTATCAAAGTGGTTAACGTGTTTGAATTCCGTTATCACAAGAGGGTCACGCCGTTAAAAACGTCTGAAAAAGACCATTAAAAGTAAATCTGATTTTCAAAAGTGTCCGAAAAATTAAAAGAAAAATACCGGAAGATGCGCCTCAATAAGACGACCGCTAGGCCATCTTTTTTTTCAGCCACCCTTGTCACCGGAAAGTTCATCGGAATAGTGATATTAGCGAAATCATTTTTAAAAATTAATTCAAACATATCAGAAAAATCCAAAGGCGGAGGTGATTCGGAGGTTATCTTGACGAGGCGCACCTTTCAGTATTTTTCTTTTAATTTTTTGGGCACTTTGGAAAATCGGAGTTACTTTTAACGGTCTTTTTCAGACGTTTTTAACAACGTGACCCTATCTGAAAATGTGCCCAACCACAAGTATCTTTTCCGTACTTTTGCCAATTTTTTTAAATAAGGCCCACGTATATTTTTGTCTTTTGAACTTAATTTGAGTTTGCACCTCACTTTATTGTCGAAATTAGAGTTTGCACCCCGTTTTTGAAATCCTTAGTATTTGCACCCTAACCCCGTATGAAAAGACAAGAATGCCCCTCGATCAGAAATATGTTGAAGGCCAACAATATTGTTAACTGAGGGGCATTTTAGTCTTTTCATACGGGGTTGGGGTGCAAATACTAAAGATTTGAGAGTCTTTTATAATGACTTATTCAGTTTAATCTGATAAGTTCGGGTTGAAATGACTAAATTAACCGAACTTATTGAATTATAGAAAAATTTAATTTAAAATATATTTTATTAATAAAATGAAGAGAAAATATATATGAAGAATAGCCAAAATGTTCCTCTATAGTAATTTCAGTAAATTAAATCAGAAAAGTAACTTCATTTCTACTTATTTTGATTATTATACAATTTAGCGCTTGAAATAAAAAATTACATGTTAAACCGAAGATGAGGTTATCAAATGGGGTCTCAATATGGTAGGGCTAAAAGCACTACCTAAATAGATTGAATTGGTGGAGTGGACAATTTTAACTTTTTAAGTATTTTATATAAATTTATTAGTGTTTAATGAAATAGTATCTATCTTTATCTAAAAACAAAATGTTTTTGGGAATAGTATTCCCGCTCAAAAACATCAACATCAAGTGAGTGAGGTTTTTTAGTTGGAGGAAAATAAAAGAAATAATGGCATAAATAATAGTACACCATTTTAAAAAGACAAAAGTAAGACTAAAGTTGAGATTAGACACAAAAGTGAGTAAAATAGAATTGGAAGACAAAGCACCCCTGCACTTAGCTTAACCCTTCCCTTTCTCACCCGTCGAATTGCCCATCTCTGCTATATACTTTCTATGCACTAGGTTTTTTTATGAAAGTGGAGGTGGACTGGCTAAATGAAAATGGTGGCCTACCTAAAGACGATCGACGACGGTTTGGCTGAGGGAGACGGTGACCTGGTTGAGGACGCTGGATTTGCAGCAGACAATGACCACGACCTTGCACTGGACGTCATCGATGGCGGCGTATCACCAGACCATGATGACATTGCTGAGGATGGCGACGTCAACGATTTAAGCTCCATCATTGATTACGGCGACGGAGTACGGATCTGCCTAGGGTTTGTTTCACAGCGACGTCGGCGGCCTTACTGAGTGCCACATCGGGCGATACTGTTCAGAGACGAGCAATGTTTTTGCTCTGAAAGTGGCTGTAATACCCGAGATTAATTTAAGAGGATTAATAGTACTACTCATACCAACAAGGTGCATCTCCTTTTAAGGGAGCTCATTAGCCAAGAACTCCAAAGTTAAGCGTGCTTGCACGGGAGTAGTCTTGGGATGGGTGACCCCCCTGGGAAGTTTCTCAGGGCGCGCACGAGTGAGGACAAAGTGCGCGGAAAAGGCTAGTGGCGGTTTGTGAGGATAGTACTAGAGGTCAGAAGTAACTACCTCGGGGCCTACGGGACCGGGGTGTTACAGTGGCGTTGATGGTCGACGTCAGTGATGCGGCGCTAGACAGGGTCGAGGTCGTTAAGCGGCAACGGGGTCGCTACGCTGTTCGTAGGATAGGTGTGTGATGTGGGGGTAACTAGGGGGTGCTGGCCTGGGACAGTGACGGTGTACGTTGGTGGGGCAGGAAATGTTGAGCTGGTCGGAAATGGTCGTGGAGGAGGCGGTGTTGCAGGAGCAGGGGAAATGGGGATGGGCAGGGTAGGGTCTCTGGGAAGGGCATGTCACTGTAACGGTCAGCGAAGGTGGTCACTGCAATTGCCTCCGCCGTAGGTCACTGTAGCCGGGGACGGAGATCACTGTTCCGAAGACAGGTCACTGAATCGACGGCCAGGTCAGGAGCAGTGTGCTAGCGGTGGTGGATAGACGTGTGAGGTCTGGTGGTTGATGGTGACCTGTGGTGGCAGGTAACTATGGAAGTGTCACTATGACCAGAGTCGGCATGTCACTGTTATCGGAGGGGGCAACGGCGGTCACTGGTCGGTGTGGTTCACGGTGGAGTCACTACGGCGGCTATCAGTACGACGAAGTCACTATGGCGATGTCACTTCGTCGTTGTCACTATGGCCGGCGACTGTCTCCGGCCGGCGGCGGTCACCGATCAGGGGTGGTGGGTGGTGGTGGTGGATGTCACTGCATCTCATGTCACTGTAGCGTTTCACAATTATTTTCATGTAATAATTTAAATATTGAAATCCAAATATCTACTATTGCAAATAAAAATATATAAATAGAAAGAAGAATTAACTAATAAAGGATCCAATGACACGTAATACTTTGGTACGGCTATGTTGCGGCCTACATTACTGCAGTCATGTGGATGCAGTGTTGAAAGTCAGGAGTAATTTAGAGAGTTAAGTGTTTATTAGTCACATATTTGGAAAATTTAAGAAAATGTCTCTTTTTTGTCCATTGTCTATTTTTAACCAATATACTCCGTACATGCCAAAACTCCAAAATAAAATGGTTAAGAAAAAAAGTTATTTGGATATTTTATTGCTTGAGAAAACTTAGGCAAGTGGGTTAGGTGAATATAGCTACAATTTAAAACGGCTCATGCTAAAAGTCTCCTATACAACTGTTGAAGCTGATTTTGTATAGATTTTTGGGTGATGGTTGGAAAGATTGGATTCTCATTGGATGATGAAGAGGTGAGAACAGTGATCCATATTTGGGATATCTTTTATCAACGCAGGGATCGAAGGGAAATGGATGGGTGTAATGAATAATCGTAGAAAAGTTTAATGGATGGGTGTAATGAATAATCGTAGAAAAGTTTAAAAGTAGAAAAAATAAGGATAATTGAGAAGGTAAAAAAGTTGGAATGCGAAGATAAAAAATAGAAAAAATAAAGATAATTCAGTGTTTTTGAAAGAAAACACTTACTAAAAATAAGAGTAAGAGCAAACTTTTAAATAGGGAGGGGTATAAACAAACAAATACGGAGTATCTATGAGATTAAGAATATGGTAAGATGAGTCATTTATTCTTTTCTCGAAAAAAACTAAACAAGAAATTCATATTCCAAAGTTTTATTTTTTTGGAAGATTTGGAATGTCGTAAAACTGTTTTGTTTTTAATAAGTCCATGCTCGTAGTGTACACTCAAAGTTTGAATCAAATTTTGGAACTGTTTGTATAAAGAAACTCAACCAACTCTTATCGGTGGGTACTGTTTGGAAGAAAAAATATCTACGGGAGAATGCATGTAATATACTTCAATGAAACATGATGACTATATATCTAGAGCAGATTTTGTTCCTTGCTCTATTTTAAAAGACGACTTTATAACACGCATAGGGTCAAGTGCGAGATTAAAGGTGCAGAGTAAGAAACATACTTTGGTGGCTGGAACCTATTGAAAGCAGTGTTTGAAAAAACTACACATTATTTTCTCTTTTAAGAGATTAACGAGAAATTTCAAAAAAAAAAAAAACTGATTTCCAAACATTCTTACGTATTTTAAAATTTTGTAATTTCATTATGGTGTGCCATATGGCAAAATTTGTGTATGTTCTTTACTGCAATATTAAAAACTCTGAGTACTTGATATCATATAAAGGTTCTCTGCCTGATCAGTAACACATTAATGGTTAGTGCTTATGTGTTGCAACAAAGCATGGCTTATTCTAAATCAATTCGGTGTTTCTGCCGTTTTGGACTTCCAACTTCCATAATACTTCCTCCTCCGTCTCTTTTTAGTTGAAACATTCAACATTTCACGTTTGCCAACGCACAACTTTGACCATCATTATATTTAATTCTGTATTAGTAAAAATAAAATAAAAATCAGATAATGAGACGAATTTAACAACATTTTTCAAAAAAAAAAATCACATACATTAATAAATAAAATGTAGTCAAAGTAAAGTACATGAATAGTGTATATATTCCAATGTTACAATTAATGAGATACGGAGTATAGTACTACGTAAGATACAATCGAAGCATCAACGTGTATTTTAGAAAAACTTATTTAAATGTTAGTATTTCAATAAACTATTAAACTCATAATGAAAAACAGTCCATTTTGGTTGTGATTTTGCTGTTCATTTTACACACAAAGTGAAGTTTATTTTAAATATAATGTTCGAATATATGACAAGGTTCACTTTCTAAAATTGCGAAATTTACCTCTTCATGGCCGGAAGATTTGCCCGGCTGCCCAAAGTATCCAAAGCGGCTATTATCAAGAACTGCTCTGCTAATTAGAGGGGAGAAAGTCGGGAAACGGGTGCCATCTGATGGGGTGCTACGACGCCAATCTTTCTGACCGGAGAAAGAAATGTGGTTTGTGGAGTTGGAACGTTTGTAAGGGAGGGAGGAGGCCAAAGGTGAATGAGCACGAAAAGAGAGTAAGAAAGGGGGATGGGAAATGGGACGGGAGGAGAGAGTAGGTAAAGTTTTTTTAACACAATTGAAAGTTACTTTTAGTGTGATATGGCTTGGTTTTTCATCGTTGAGATACTTTGAGTTCAACACTCAAGAATTGACTTAGATTCTTAGATACTTCGATAACACTAAAATTTGTTGAATTGGCTGATTTTGCTGAAATTTATGAGGTTATGAATGAAATGACTGTATTGGTTGATTTTGTTGATTCATGTAAATATTATATTTAAAATATTTGTTATTAATAAATCAAATAAAAAATTGTATGAAAAAGCAACTAAAATGATTCTCTACAGTAACTTCAGCCAATACAGTCAGAAAAGTAACTTCAGCCTTACTTTTTCTTATTATTTCACAATTCAGCGTGCGAAACCAAAAATTTCATGTTTGGTGAGAAAACTGGGTGATAAGGCGAAAAAATGTCACCAAACGGGCTCTTATTCTACTGATATTTATAAAGCTATGATTAAAATTGTTGTATGAGTTGAGTCTGTTGAATAATAGAAAACTGTATTACTACCTCTGTCCCCCTAAATTTGGGACAAAGGAGTGGTGTGGTTTTTAAGAAAAAGTAGAATTGTGTGGTGGATATTGAATTGATAAAGTGTGAATAAAGTAAGAATCAATTCTAACCACTCAAATATTACAAAATATAGTACTCGTATGTGACAAATTTAATGGGGGGACGAAAAAGTTAAAAGGGGACAAAGTTAGGCGACAGAGGAAGTAGCTAAAATGGTCATTTTAAATAACTTCAGAGCTTGATTATTACACAACTAGCGTGCAAATTCCAAAGTTGCATGTTTGATGGAAATGTTGACTTATAAGATTAATAAGTCGATAATATGAGTCACCAAACGGGCTTTAAATTTCTCACATAAAAAAGTACAATGTACCATTTTTTGAAAAAATGGAAAAAACATACCGTATAACTTTTAAGAAAATATTCATAACTTTTAATAAAATATTCACTACTTTTAACATAGATGCACTCCCAATCGTAAATGTTAAACCTTACCAATAATTATCAATATAGAGATGTCTAAAACAACAAATGAATCAACTCACACTTTCTCCCGTTGTTCCAAAAAAGTAATAAAGTAAATAATTATGTTATTGTAAGTGTTTAATTACCGTCTACATACAGTTCTATTTAGAGAGGTTTAAGATAATATTACTTTTAATCAAATTACGACAACTTATAAACCAAAAAAAATAACTTTTAAACCCAAAACTTCTAAAACCATGAATACAACTTGTGACCAAAAATCAAAACTTTTAAACCGGACACGAGGGTTAAGTTTTACTAAAAATGTTAGGACCTCTAAAATTTATGATCTTCATATACGTACTAAGATTTACAACAATTGTAAGTATTTTTTAATCAAAATGTTTCAAAACACATAGGGATATACTAATATGCCCTTGAACGTAACTTCTATGAAATGCATCATAACTAATAGGAGTTATAGCTTAACCACTCTAAACAAAAAATAGAGCTTCATGATGGTAAAATAAAACACGTGAGATTACCAAGAAATTAAAACAATCATTAGCAACAACATATTTACCACATAAGTTCTAAGGGAAATTAACGAGAAAAGAGAAACTAAAAATTGGATAAGCAGCAAGAATAGTTTATATTTTCATTTGGAAAGTTTCAAAACACGTTAGGCATACACTAATTGAAGCAGAAAAATAAATTCTAAATAAAAACACATAATTTATAACCTTACCACTAGATCAAAATAGTAATAAAATAAGGAAGTGTGAGATTACATATATAGCAATTAGTAGCAACAGCAACTACATTTTAGCTCATAAGCTTAGAACAAAAATAATGAAAATAAAAAATAAAAAATTAGATTAACAAAACAAGTAAAGTAGTTTTTCAATTAGAAAGTATCAAAATAAATTAGGCATATACTAATAGAACCGAGAAAAGAACTTTTGGACGGAGAAAAGAACTTTTAACCAATAAATAATAGGAAAAACTGAAAATAATAATCCCAATTATTACCGGTCCGCTAACAATAATCTCAACTATTGATTATTTTGTATAATCCCAACTATATGGACTGTCCGCCAATAATGGTCCATGACCGCATATTACCTGCTCTAACAAGTGAATTTTTGATAGAAATTAAGCGTAAAAATTAAAAGTTGAGATTATTTATAGGGATCACCTGCTATATCTCTTTAGAAACTATAGAAATTTATTTATAGTTGGTCACGTCGGACCATTATTGGCGGAAGGCCCATAAAGCTGGGATTATTCTAAAATAATCAATAGTTGGGATTACTATGAGCGGACCGCCAATAGTTGAGATTATTACAATCAATTTTTCCTAAATAATAACTTATAGCTTAAAATTGAGGCACATTAGCACCATCACCATTACAACATTTCATCGAATAGCTTGTGGGCATGACTTATGTTCAGAAACAACAATCAATTAGAGACACGACATGAACTCAATATCTATACCAACAAACAATTGGCATATTTAGAATAAGTTTCCGTTACAAAATCATCAGGATACAAACAATCAGCATATCTTTATCAAGGTTTAGCTAGCTGGATACAAACAATCGGCATATCTTTATCAAGGTTTAGCTAGCAGGATACAAATGGATATGATTTAAGTTAAAATACCTTAACTTACAATTATGCAATGATGTTATGAAAGGGGATCCAGAGAATCACATCTATAAACTTGTCTGTATGAACATAATTTGGCACATCCCCATGAATCGTTGAAGACCTAACAAGTTAGCTAACATTAGATTAGGTATAGAATTTCAATTTCAATCATAAATAAATCACAAGTATTGAGAGAGAGATTACAGCAAATGAATCGCACCACTCATAAAACTTTTTGTTTTATTTAAAGATTAGATCGATGAAAATCATATGTTTTTTTCAAATTTTATTATAATCGTCTTCAACAAATCTGGATGAAAATATATAAGTTCCTAAATCGACAACTTGAAATGCATTTTTAAATTGAATGAAACAAGTTTATGAATTGAGTGGAAGTTCATTGAATTTCATAAAAATACCTTTGGACATGCAAGCCGAAGTTTGTCACAATCATAGAAATTCGTGGAAGTTTGAAAAAGTATGATTGAAATTCGTCAAAGTCCGGTTCTAGTTCGTCGAAGCCCGATTCAAGCCAATCCATTGAAGTGATTGTGAGAGTTTGAAGAAATTCTAGACGAAATAGACTTCTGGAGCTACGCTATGATGGTTATGGAGTAGTTGTGCTGAATAGAAATTCGGGGCTCCAAAACTTACGTGGCTATTACATGTTTTTGTTTGCTTTCAAAGTTCACCCATTGATTTCTTCTAATCGGAGTATCGGACGATCAGAATCACTTCTCACTTTTCCCCCTTAGAAGGCTTCTCACCAGATTGGTTCCCAATATACATATAAGTAGATATAATAATTGCATAACTAATTTAAATAGATATGATTTATATTAATAGGTGTAGAGAGAATGGGAGAAAATGAAGATGATTAGAGAGTAGGAAGAATTGGAGAATAGGTGTAGGAAAATGTTTATAAAATAAGAGTATTTATAGATTTATTGTACCCCTACCCCCTACCCCCCGATCCCCCTCCAACAGCTCCAGAGCCGTTTGGCAACGGTCACAAGCCAACAACCTTTTCAAACATTTTTTTTTTAATATATTCGTTAAGGCCCAAGCCGGTCACCCCATTTGAAGCCCCAGTCCCGATACCGCCCGGCGGGCCAGGTCGGGCCTGCACAATACCCGATCGGGCCGGGTCCCGAATCAGGCTGACCCGTCCCAATCCATCCTTAAACAAAAACAAAACAGAAAAGTTTAGCTCCTCATTTGGAGACTAAAAATGAAATAAATATAAAACACACTTTTTTAAACTGAGCTTAATATTATATTATTATATGAGAATGTGTGATCAAATGGGAAGAAAATGATGTATTTATAAGTGTTTGAAGGTGAGAAGATCTCATAGCCGACGAGTATGTAGGATATCAGATCGGGTATCCTCAGCAATAGCATGGAAACTTCATAAATCACATCATACATAGGGATGAACTCGGGCTGGGTCAACCGGCCCAACCCGGTACTGTTTCGGCTCGGCTCGGCCCGGTACCCGGTCCAGTAATGTTTCGAGGCAGGCTTCGAGCCTTCGAGTCTCCAAAATAGTGAACCGTTCTGGCCGATTCAGCCCGGTTCGGGCCAATTTCTTTTTTTGGTTTTTCAAAATATTTGGAAGGTAAATGGGGGTTGGATTGGGTGTTTTGGAGGACTTTGGGGTGTGGGGTGGGGGTGTGGGGGTAGGAAGTAATTATAAAATCAAAAACAATACGGGTACCCGGGCCCGGTAGCTACCCGGGCCGATTCAGAGCCTTAAGATTCCAAAAAAGCTCGGCCCAAGACCCGGCCCGGACCGGCCCGAGTCAATCCCACAAATAGAACTGGGACCAGGTACCTGAAAATCTAGACAAGGTCAGTCCTGTGCCTGGAACCGTAAAAACACAATCCGGTCTAGAATAATGTCAAACCCGGTTCAAGACCGGTTGGCACCGCAGTATTTTGCCTCATTTAGTTTGTTATTCTTAAACAAAAACTCAATGTAGGAAAACTTAAAACTGAGCATTTGAAAGTTTTGAATAGTTACAAGAATCCTCTGAAATCGTCCCTTCCAATTTTTACTCCCAAGGAAAAGGTGATAAAGAAAATAAGATCAATCTGCCAATTAAGTCTGGGTCCATGTTTTTGTACTACTGAAAGTCACCCTCCATATGAAAGCCGAATTTCTAATCATACGTTGATTTGCCTGTTTCAGACAAGAGCCATTGAGTGAAACTAAAATAATTAATGTGCGCAGCAGCAAAATACAAGATCGGACAAGTATTCACTCTAGATTCATCTGTCCCATTCAGACTCGGCAAAATGTGCAACATTTCCTGAAGACCTCTGATTAATCGTAGTTTGTTGAGGATCAAGATACCGATTCCATCCCAAAATATGAGGCAAAGCAAACTGCATTTTAAACCCTCATATCACTACACAATTTACTAGCGAAAATAAAAAACAAATATGTGTGTGTGTAGATATTTGGTAACATATAGGGTATTCAAGGGCAGACAGGCTTCAGAAAATCGAATTTGGGTGGGCAGGGGGGATCAAATTAATTATTATCTCATAAAAAACTGTGATTTGCATGAACACATCTTTTAGGGGATGGGGATTTTTTCAAGAACTAAGGTGGGCCAAGGCCCAGTAAGCATCTCCCCAACACCTCAGAGAATGAATGATGTGTCCTCTGTAGAAAGGTATGGGAACAGCTAAAGGTTCATACAATGATACAAGTGACAACATTTAATTGATAACTTGTATCTGAGCAAAAGAATACATCATGGTTCATCATCCAAACAAGCTATTGGGAGTGTACTAGTCATTCTCACTCAATGTTATGCTTTGGAAAGGATTTCTAGCATGCTCTCACCAACAAGAGGACATTCAATGTCAATCCAGAAAACTGTATGTTGTTATGTTGAAAGCAATTATTTTTCCAATGTTGATGAATGAAAAGGGTTTCCATCATTTGCAATGGAGTCAAAGATTCATTATTTTTTGGCTTGAGATTATGATGGAATAAAGCAAAATGGCTCACTAAACTGTCTGCGCTTCTTTGTTATGGAGCAGCAGTCAATCCATGCAATCTTGGACGCGATTTTCACTATGGGTCATCCGGAAACAGTCTCTTTGTGCTTTAGTACAGGGGTAAGACTGCGTACATCTGACCCCCTCTTACCCCACCGTAGGTGGGAGCCTTTGCGGCACTGGGGTAAATGAAAATGATGATGAAAATGAATGATGAATGAAAAGGCAGAGGGAAACTTCAGATCAACGTTTAAGGTGTAACAGCATAATACATATGGTCTTCCATAAATAAATAAAAAACGGTTGTCATGTAGCAAGACGACAATTGATTCAATTTCTTAGTGTTTGGTTTAACATGGTATGGCAGGGGAAGGGAAGAAAAATAAAAATATGTTTGCTTGGTTTAGCACTTTAGCAAGAAGGGAGAAGGGGAAGGGTGGAATAAGCTTTCCCTTGTGAAGAAAAAAGGAGAATAAAAGAAAAGGATGACAATAGTCCTTCGGATTGCATGTGATTGATTAGGTTTTACAAAATTATGGGGGGCATTTTTCTGTGTTCGTGTGGCTTAAACTAATTTGCCTATAATTTAGCCTATTTTGGAGGAGAAGCAAGGGGGAGAGGGGGCTTTTTTAATCTACTTTCCCTCCTCTTTCCAACCTCTAATAATTATACTGTGCAATTAGGTGGTATACACCCAGTTGCAACGTTACAATGCTACATAATATCCTACTTTAAAATGGGTGTCTAAATTTTAAAAACTGTGTTGATGATGATAGAATAAACTTTCATAATAATATTATGACTCTAATATTAAATAATGATACAACAACATCCACGCCTTAATCCCAAAAGAATTTGGGGTCGTCTAACATGAATCGATCTATGATATCGATGCCAAACAGAGAAGACAAACAACAACAACAACAACAACCAAGCCTTAATCCCAAAAGAATTTGGGGTCGGCTAACATGAATCGATCTATGATATTCATATTTCAATTCATGTCATGTGATGTGACTAAGTGATACTGTTGGCCGTCACACGCCTACCACAGCACCCTCCTCCTCTCTCCTGGCTTGGGACAGGCATGATACCAAAAAAAATGATTTCATGGCGAAGTTAAACAGAGAAGACAGACAAGAAGAGGAAAAAAAAGAAAAAGAAAGGAAAAAGAAAAGAAAAGGAAAAAAAAAAGCAAAAGAAAAAAAAGAGGAAGATAAAACGGATAAAATAAAGATAAATAAATATAAGATAACAAATAACAATAACATAAGAATATAAGAAAGATAAAATATAAAAAGACAAAAGAACATAAAAAAGCTAGAAAATAAAAATAACATAAGAAAATAAAATGATAAAGAAGATGAACGATAAAAGAAAAGAGAGGAAAGGTAAAACAGACATCAATCGTCCACACGGATGTGCGCCCTTCACTTTGCTCTCTCCAAAGGCATACTCTCATCCAACCCAAGAAGACGCATATTAATTCTAATATTAAATAATGATACAACAACACTCAGGCATTAACCCCAAAAGAATTTGGGGTCGGGTAACATGAACCGATCTATGATATCGATGACAAAAGGAGAAGACGGACAAGAAATGAAAGAAATAAAGATAAATAAATATAAGATAACAATAACACAAGAATATTGAAAGATAAAAGATACAAAATAAAAAAGCATAAAAAAACTAGAAGATAAAAATAACATAAGAATAAAAAAAGATAAAGAAGAAAAGACATCAATCGTCCACACGGATGTGCGCCCTCTACTTTGCTCTCTCCAAAGCCATACTCTCATCCAACCCAAGAAGACGCATATCAGTTCTGATTCCTCATAATCCAAGTCTGTTTGGGTGTTCCCCTCCCTCTCTTCTCCCCACCCCTCAAGTCGTCTAACAGGTGCATCACTCGGTCTTCTACGCACATGCCTAAACCACCGCAAACGAGACTCCTGCATCTTATCTTCTATAGGTGTTACTCCCACCTTTTATCTAATTACCTAATTCCTCAAGCGGACTTTTTTGGTATGTCCACACATCCAACACAACATACGCATCTCTGCCACACTCATCTTTTGAATGTGGCATTGCTTCACCGCCCAACACTCTACGCCATACATTAATGCCGGCCTAATTGCTGTACGATAAAATTTACCTTTCAGTCTAGTCGACAGACCTCGATCGCATAGAAATCCTGAAGCACTCTTCCATTTCATCTACCCAGCTCTGATTCTATGGCATACATCTCCATCTAATTCACCATCCTTCTGAATTATGGAACCACAGTAACGGAACATATCACACACCGGTATCTCCTTACCATCAAGAGTAATCCCACTGTTACTACTACTTCTACCTCCACCAAACTTGCACTCCATATACTCAGTCTTGCCGATATTAAATAATGATCATAAAAAAAAATTGCACCTGTCTTTAACTAGTGGAAATAAACAATAAAAAAATAAAAAATTCTCCTCTCCACTCCCTAACACTCTCCTCCTAGCAGTTCCCCTCGACACTAACTAAACCCACCCTTTCAAGCAATCCGTGGTTTTGAACAAGCTATGCATGCATTTGCTGTCAGATCCTATCATGAAGCCTCGTTTACTACCTTTTTGCCTAACCTCGATCAGTAATTTGCTATTAGCAAAGGGCTTTGTCCCCATCTGCTAATTTGTTTTCGTTTTGTTCCCCTCGACACTAGCTAAACGCACCCTTTCAAGAAATCAGTGGTTTTGAACAAGCTATGCATGCATTTGATGTCAGATCCTATCTTGAAGCCCTCGTTTACTACCTTTTTGCCTAACCTCGATCAGTAATTTGCTTTTAGCAAAGGGTTTTGTCCCCATCTGCTAATTTGTTTTACTTTTGCCACCATATAGAGCTAGGAAAAAAGAAAAAGTAACAACATTTTCTAAACCGAACAAATATGTGGTATCTATTTACTAAACCTACACAAATGAAATAATACATAACTCATTTTCATCTGACAAACTGCAAATTTCATTAAACATAATAGTGAAACAGCATACACTGAAAACTGCAAAACTTCAATAAACATAATACTACCAAAATAGATATCCAATAAATGAGACATGCACATAATAGTGAAAGAGCATACACTGAAAGCTGTTCGCATGACAGCAAACTCAGCACAAGTAACTGGAACAGTTAGCCGATCATTTGTCTTTTGGACATTATTCACAACATCTGCAGAAAAAGATAGAAATAAAATCAGAAGGTAATTTGTAAATAATAAAACAGTATTTCATTGAATTGCTTGAGAGAAGTTGAGGGTGAGGAAAATGGCCACATGTTTAAGACAGTAATGGTAAAAAAAGTAAGTGCATTGGAAAGAGATGAAAGACATGAAACTGTAACTAAACATCTTTAGTTGAATATCTTGCAGAAAGTGGAAATAAGTGGCTAGCCGCACTTGGAAAACTTACTAAGAGACATAAAATAACCACTGCTGTCACTATGTGCTTTAACTGACAAGCTTTTTCTAACCTCACCAGCATTGCTGAAAATATTAATGCGATTTGGACAAGTGTTATACACTTATATGCATATATGCAGTAACAAATGTACCAAAGGTCATTGAGAAAAACTATAACAAACTTTAACCTTTGTCGCATTGAAGGATCATGGAAGAATTCACAGGAATCATCAGGACCTAAATTCAGCAAAGCTCCAACCTCAGTGGCTGACAGAGCAAATATCTATATGTAGATCATCAGATCCGTAAGTCCAGCAAATTATCAAAAGAAAAAAAATTGAAAGGCGTCCATGCTAGAAATTTAGACATTGTATAGCGTTAATGAAAAACAAGGAAGGTGGTCAATAAAAAAGAGGCATTGAAAAAAGATGATTTTGTAGTACTTTAAGCAGCAAAAAACTCTCTGAGGTTCAGAAGTTTATTACACACCACTCATAGTGTTCGTACCAGATAGAAAGGGAAAGTATTGCTGTAATTAAGAAAATGAAAATATTACTTGCTTCTTTCCCCAATCATATTTGCGCTCACCAATAGCTGGAAAGAATGTCAACATAATAACACCTTTGCGAGCAACCATTAGACTTCCCAACTATGGAATGAAATTTACAAAAAGACAATTACTAAACTATGGTATGAAAATAACTTCAGAATATAAGTTGAAAGGGTTAAAGAAACATATACATCTGATTTACTGAATGTTGGAAGTGTTGGTGAAGCAGAGAGGGCAGCTTTGCCCTTGTATATTGTATATGGAGCAAATACCTTTTGCTGCAATGTTCCTAATGGAAAACTATACTCCATAAGACATAATATGTAAGAAAAAATTCATCATTGAATGTACATACTGAATTAGGGAGGTTAATTTTTTCAAATAATTTTGGTACCGTCAGCCACAATTTTTTTTGTCGCAGCTATTCCAGCCAGGGATGAGAACCCACGAAAGCTATAGTGTATAAGTAAAAGAAATTAGCTACAGAAACCATTTGACCAGTAAAAAACCCAATGCATGTTTTGACTTCAGCAAAGCAACACAGTGTAAATGTAGCAAGAAATTCAGAACAAATTAAAGAGTAAGCACACCATGCTATATAACATCTGTTAGTGAACCAAATCCTCAAATTATAATTGTCTTAGGCACGTACAAGAAGAATGTAACATCAAGTCTGCAATGACCTCCCACACGAAATGACTCATCATTTTCATTTCATCATTTTCATTTACCTTAGTGCCGCAAAGGCTCCCACCTACGGTGGGGTAAGGGGGTCGGATGTACGCAGTCTTACCCCTGTACTAAAGCACAAAGAGACTGTTTCCGGATGACCCATAGTGAAAATACCGTCCAAAATTGCATGGACCGGGTGTTGCTTCATAACAAAGAAGCGCGGACAGTTTAGTGAGACATTTTGCTTTATCCCATTCGAAATGACTATGAAATTTAATATGTAGCCTGAAATGACCAAGTGAAATATGGAATTCTGGAACGAAACAAATAGAATCCCCACCTCATGTGACAGACAGAGATGTTCATTTTATGCCCCAATTCTATGTTCCTTATGAACAGTTTGGCCGGACTAAATTCTTGAGACCAGCAAAGACAATAATAAAAAGGTGTTAGAAATGCTAAACCGTGACTACCAAGCATTGTGTTAGAAATGGAAGTCTATGGTAAAGGGAAACATCAGACATATGCATGAAGGTCTAGGTTTAAGAAAAGATAAACCCGTGATTGACAGAAGAAGAAGATAACAAATTTCACACAGATGAGAATCGGAATAAATACTCCGTAATAATTAGGAGAAGATAGGGGTTTTGGTTTACCTGGAGCCCAGTCTCTTTGAAATATTCAACATCCTGAGCTGAGATTTTGAGTGAAAGGAGGGAGGGAATGCTCGAGGCTGAGGACCCGTGTGTCCTCTTGAAATATTTGGCCTTTTCGTAAAACTGTGCTTCTTGGAGCGCTAGGTTGGAAAAACGGCTCAAGTTGGCTCACTCAACTTGAAATTAGAATAGTAAAATTTGCGCGTTTTTGAAGTTTGTGCAGATGACATAGAAATGAACAAAGCCACAAAAACATTGTTTTAAAAGAAAAGTAGAAGTTTTTTGGGATAAATAAAAAAGGAAAGTTGACAAAGTCCAGTGGAACGGTGTGAGTAACATCTTTTTTAAATTAGTCCTCGTTTTACCAAGGGAGAACCGTCAAATGGGTCAGTGTCTGTGTTATTTCAAAAATCTAAGTTTTTTAAATATAAAATCACCCAATCCAATCCTATATACTATGGAGTATCATATAAACCAAGTCCAATCAAAGAATATTTATTACGTGATTTGCTATTGGGAAAACTGTAAAATAGGTTCTCGAACTTTCATAAAAAAGTCAATTAAGCCCTTATATAGGAGATTCTGTCCGGTCGTCGCGATTTGGAGCGGTTCCCGGTGGAATTTTTTGATGAAATTTTTTGAGCATCTTATTCATCAAGTCTAGTTTACTGATACCAAATTTCAGCTAAAAATTTAATCCGGAGCGCATTCAAATTAATTCAAGAACGCAAAAATGCGCAGTTATCTTCAAGAATTAATTTGAATGTGTTCCCAATTGAAGTTTTAGTTGATATTTGGTATGAGTAAACTAGACTTGGTGAATAAGATGCTCACAAAATTTCATCAAAAAATTTCACCGGGAACTGCCCCAAATCGCAACGGCCGGACAGAACCTCATATAGAAGGACTTGATTGACCTTTTTATGAAAGTTTGAGGACCTATTTGACAGTTTTCCCTTTGCTATTTGTGAAATGTGTGACTAAATTATAGTGTAAGTTCACCCTAACTCACCAAATTTTCTGGATACTATGAAAATAATAAGATGAAGTAATGGCTCACCCAATTAGGGTGTCCTGGTGGTCTATATATATTAAACATAGAAATAGGAAAATTACAAATATGTCCCGATACTATAGATTATTACACACCCCTCAATCTGTACAAGGGAAACAACACGCAGATTGGAACGTAAAAATTCAAAACGCTGACTGGATAAGTTCTTAGTGAAAATATCAGCTAATTGTAACTGCGTTGGAACATATTTGACCACCAGATCTCCATGAGCAACTCTTTCTCTGACACAGTGGTAATCAATCTTGATATGCTTACTGCGGTCATGTTGAATGGGATTCACAACTAAATAAGAGGCAGACACATTATCACAGTGAAGTTGAACCGGTGTGGAAAGCTGAATGCCCATCTCAGACAGGAGTGAGCGGATAAAAATAGTGTCCTGAACAATGTAGACTATGGCACGGTACTCAACTTCATTAGATGATTTAGAAACATTTGGTTGCTTCTTGGAACGCCATGAAATAAGATTGGGATCCAGAAAAATAGCATAACCAGTGGTGGAGCGACTGTTGTCCGGACAACCTGCCCAATCAGCATCAGAACAGGCCACAAGAAGAGAGATGTCACGTTTGGCCTGAAACCACAAGCCATGATCTGTAGTACCATGCAAATATCTGTAAATTTGCTTGACAGGCAAAAGATGAGTAATATGTGGTGCATGCATAAATTGAGAAACCAAATGTAGAGCATAAGTAATATCAGGTCTAGTTAAAATCAAATATTGTAAAGCATCTACCATACTTCGGTACTCAGTAGCATCAGTAAGAAGTTCACCATCTGTGAGAGAAAGAGTAGTACGGGACGGTAAGGGTGTACGAACTGGTTTGACAGTATGAAGATGAAACCGGCGTAATAAATCAAGGATATATTTTTGTTGAGATATAAAGAGACCCTAGGATGTACGCCGGGTTTGAAGGCCCAGAAAAAATGAATGTCACCCAAGTCCTTCATGGCAAACTGGGTAGACAAAGAATTAATGATGGAGCGGACAAGTGGTAGCGAGGAGCCATTAATTAAAATGTCATCCACATAAAGAAGAATGTAAATAACCTAAGAATGCTGACGGTAAACAAACATAGAGGAATCAGATTTACTTTGAGTGAAACCATGAGATAAGAGAAACCCACTGAATCTGTGAAACCAGGCTCGGGAGCCTGTTTAAGACCATATAATGCCTTTTTGAGACGACACACATGATGAGGGAAAGAAGGGTGAACAAAACCTGGAGTTTGTCGCATATAAACCTCTTCTGTGAGATGCCCATGAAGAAATGCATTTTTAACATCTAATTGACGAATACACCACCCAAGAGAAACAACAATAGATAACACAAGACGTACAGTGGTGGGTTTGACTACAGGACTAAAAGTGTCAGTAACATCTACACCAGCCTGCTGCTTAAACCCTTGAGCAACTAAACGCACTTTGTGGGGCTCAACAGTCCCATCAGAATTATATTTCGTCTTATAAACCCATTTACAACGAACCACATTTTGCAAGCCATCCCAAGGTACTAATTCCCAAGTTTGATTAGAAAGTAGCGCATTAAATTCATCGGCCATGGCAGCCCACCAAATAAAATGTTTTTGAGCTTCTGAAAAACACGTAGGATCATCCAGGGGTGAAACTACACTTAAATTAAAAATCATTTTGGGCTTATAAATACCAACCTTAGCGCGAGTTTGCATTGGGTGGTGATTAACTAGAGGAAGGGTTTTTGAGGAGGTGAAGGGCTGGATGATGGGCTGGATGAAGGGCTGGACAGTGGGCTGGACTCAGGAGTGGAAGGGGGACTGGACAGTGGGATGGGTGGACTGGGTTGTGTGCTGGACAGTGTGCTATGCCGTGTATGGGCTGTGGAGCTGGGAATAGGCAGCGGCTGGGTTTCGGATGGGTGAACTGCCTGGACCGAGGAGGGAGTGGCTGGGCTAGGAGATGGTGAAGGAGCTGGACGGGCTGCTGGACGTTCCAGCGGGGGCAATGCCAAGGGAGTAGGTGAAGGCAGAAAACTGGATAGAGGCACACGGGATAATTGGCTAGGAGACGGGGTTGTTGAAATAAGCTTAGAGTAAGGAAAATTATCCTCAAAAATTTGTACATCACGACTAATATAAACTCTACCAGAAATGGGATCTAGACAACGATACCCTTATAACCCGGGGCATAGCCAATAAAGACACGTTGTATAGAGCGAGGTGAGAGCTTATTGGAAGACTTGGCAATGAAATTAGGAAAACAAGCACACCCGAAAACACGAAGAAAAGAAATTTCAGGAGATTTATTAAAAAGTTTTTCAAAAGGAGTTAAATTATTGAGGATGAGGGTAGGTAAACGATTTACAATATAGGTAGCCGTATACAGAGCATCAACCCAAAAAGTAGAAGGAATTGAAGATTCAATTAACATGGTCCTAGTTAATTCAAGAAGATGCATGTGTTTACGTTCTGCCACACCATTTTGAGCAGGAGTGTCCGGGCAAGATTTTCTAAATAAAATACCGGATTTTAAGAAATGATTATTAAAAATGGTATTATCAAACTCCCCACCCCCATCACTCTGAAAAGCCTTGATTTTGCTATTAAAAATATTTTCTACAAGCATTTGAAAATTACAAAAATGAGTGAATACCTCAGACTTGTGCCGCATAGGATAAATCCAAGTACAACGAGAAAAATCATCAATGAAACATACATAGTACTTAAAACCCAAATTAGATAAACAGGCGATTGCCAAACATCAGAATGAATAAGTTTCAGTGGCGCAATACAAGTATGAATAGAATCCTTAAACGGGAGTCAGTGGGATTTACCCAACTTACAAGAAACATAATTACGAGAAACCGAAATTAATTTATTTTGCCGAGGTTTTTGTAAAACTCGATCACCACAATGCCCTAAACGTTCATGTCAAGTAGGTCCAGACACTAAGGTCGCTTGTAGAGCATGGAAGGGATAAAGATGGTCTTTATTGGAGCCCTGAAGAAGATGCACCCTCGTCTGATTGTCCTTAACAGAAAAAGAATTTTTATTAAAAAACACCGTACAATCATTATTCGCACACAATTTATGAATAGACAGTAGATTATATTTTAAGTGTGGGACATGATAAACGGAGTTTAAAGAAAGCGGACGACTAGGCGTAAAAATTTTAAGACTACCAACATGAGCAATGGGTAATTTAGTACCATTAGCAACTTGCACTGAATTTGGGCCGGTGTAAAGGTGTTTACAAGAAAGAATACCTTCGTGAGGGGTCATATGAGCTGAGGCTCCTGAGTCAGGATACCACATAGATGCATTATGCTCACCCGTAGGAAGAGCAGCGAGAGCAGGAGTAGAATTACCCACAAATCTTGGACACGTGAGAGCAGGGTGACCTGGAGAGAAACAGATTTAGCAAACAATTGGCGCAGGAGTATGAGAATAAGTATTGTCCATAGATGGGAAACCTGCACTGACATGATTAGTACCACAAAGTAGACATATGATTAAAGTTTGAATAACTAGTCAAGTGATCACTTAAAACTGTACCTGGGATCCCATTCTGTTGCGGACCACGAACCTGCTGACCGCCATAAACCTGTTGCCCTGGGAACTGCTGACCGTGAGGCAGGGGAACGAGAGGTGGCTGATGTCCGCCATAAGCCTGCTGCTGGCCGCCAGGAGCTGGATGCGGCTGTCCCCCATAGCCACGGCCACGACCTCGCTGCCCACGACCGCGCTGACCACTGCGATAACCACGACCCCCGGGATGACGTCCAGTCTGACCACGAGCTGCACCCCCTCGTTGAGGAGCCGCGGCAAAAGCCTGATGAGACGTCCCCGGATCTTGAGCACGCAAAAAAATATTCCTTTGCTCTTGAGTAACTAAAATTGGATGCAAGTTTTCAAGAGTAAGATCCCCCGAATATAGTTAAGGATGGTAAGCAAGGATGCGTATTCCGGACCCAAACCAATAATAGTGTACTCAAGTAAATCACGACGGCTAACAGGAGAATTTATGGCATTCAAGGCATCAACCAACAATTTAATTTCCAAGAGATATTGATCCATGGTTTGTGTTTCCTTCTTTTTAATGTGGGAAATTTGCCCCTTAAGTTCAATAGCACGAGCACGACATGCACTCATAAACCGTGTTTCAAGGGATTCCCATATACGCGCAGAAAATTTTAGATGATAAACATGCATTAAAATATCCCTTGACAAAGTAGCAAAAAGCTAGGATCTGACAGTCTGACCAATCTTAAGCCAGTGATGATATTCAGAATTCGGAATCTCGCGCCCAGAAAAAGCATGCGTGAATTGCGGCGGTGCCAAAATTGATCCGTCTAGAATCCCAAGAAGATCGTGGGAGACTAGAAAAGACTCAGCCCGCCACGGAAGATAATCTTCAACCACATTTATCGAGTAGTCACAATATTAGTGACATTGGGAGTGGAAAATCCCAATTGAACTGCGAGAGAAGCCAAAAAGAAGGATTGGGAGGAAAACCTGGGAGTTGCGTGTTGGGCTGTTGCTGCAGAGGATAGGTGCCCGCTTCACCGCTTGACCAGAGAAGGTGGAGCCGGAGAAAAGAGGCAGCGGTGAGAGCCGCTGATCCAAGACCGAAGCTCTGCCAGGCGGAGGAGGAAGAGAAGCCGCAGGTGGAGAAGATGCTACTGCTGCCGTTTGCGGTGTCCAAGAAAAAGGCTCAGGCATGTTGAATAGATGATACAACGTCAAAGGCGGTGGCAAAGGAGAGTGCCCGGTCGAGAAACGTTGTTGTATGACCTGCAGCGAGGACATGGTAGAAGAGAGGGGTTGTGTCGAAGCTACAACCGTCGGTGCCGTGGAGGAAGAAAGCGGTTGTGTTGAAAACGGCGCTGGGTGGATGGAGGTGATGTCCGTCATGGTGGGTGCGGACGAAGACGAAGGCACAGGAACTTTCGTCGAAGAAGAATCCATCGTTGAAAAGAACGGCTGTGTACTAGGTTTAACCTAGGCAGCTGATACCATATGAAAATAATAAGATGGAGTAATGGCTCACCCAATTAGGATGTCGTGGTGGTCTATATATATTAAACATAGAAATAGGAAAATTACAAATATGTCCCGATACTATAGATTATTAGATACGTCATTGTTGGCGAGGTGGCTAGATAATTTACGTATAAATTGGTTAGCTATAAATTTGATTTATAAACTGAGGGAAGAGAATTATGTGATTGATTGTTTTCCCTTAAACGCATACTCGAGGTTCATATAGATTGTACTCACATGTCTTGGTTTAAGTTTCTCATTTGCATTATTTGGACGCCTCAGTTAAGGTTTCTTACTTTTGTTTTGGTAAATAATTAACACTTTTTAAATGATCATTAATAATTATATGTTAAAAAGGTGAATATATAACATCACATTCGTCACAAAAAACCTCTTTATATTATATTTCCATCAAAATTGTTTATCAAAATGTACTCGTATTATCTTATTTAATTATATTTAATTATTGGTATTATTTAAATATACATAACATTTTTAAATGAGAAATTTAACTCTCCGTTGGGCAGTTTTGAAGTTTTTCAGAAGTGGGGATTGCCGCAAAGGAGCTTCTCTGTCACGCGTTATGGATAGACATAGCAGTAAAGTGAGTTTGGTGGCTTCGCTGCAGGCCGTTAAGCAGGGTTGCGGCAAGACATACAATCAGATTGCAGCGGAGACTGACTTGACCAATGTTTATGTAGCTCAGCTCTTGAAATGTCAGGCCCAGCTCAAGCCCGAGACTGCCTCCAAGCTCCAGGCGGCGCTGCCTTTGCTGACCGTTGACCACCTTCAACAAATGATGCTCCCTCCCATGAGATCCTATGACCCCACTCTAATTCAAGATCCCTGTGTTTACAGGTGACCCTTTCCTCTCAATTCTATAGGTTTATTGCGCTTTAATTTGTGCTAACTTTGCGTTTTTGGAATTGTTCAGTTTGACAATTTGTATGGGCATTTAAAAGCTAAAAAGCAATGGTCTTAACTCTTAAGTCAATCCACACCTGAGACACAAGCTCACATATTACATTTGGATCACCCCTCCTCCTCAGGCTTAGTTTATAGTGTGTTGAAAAGTCAATGACAAAGGAGTGCTCTATGATGGGTAGAATTCTCTAGAAATAAGTACTACGTGTTAAATAAGAGTTAGCTAGAAATACTCTAGATTGTAATTAATGTGAGAATACTCTAGAATGTAATTAATGTGGGAGGTTTTAGAAACACTTTCACCTTCCTTAGAATAGTATAAAACTATAAATAGAGGTGGATGGACACAACTCCATCATCATCAAGAGAGTGAAGGATCCTCAAGAGTGAGTTAGAGACTTTCCATCTTTGTACTCCATATTTCATACTATCGTATTAATAAAATTGTCTTTACTCCTCAGGTCTCAACATAGTGTAAGTGTAAACTAATCTTACTTCATAAGAAGAAAACTGCTAAGGTAGCCATTTGCCCATTTTATTGCAGTCCTAATTTTCTAAAGAGCCCGTATGAGTAAATTTTAATAAACTCAAAGTATTAACTAAAAGGCGAAATAAAATTAGGTAAGTCCTATAAAATCAACATTAAAGGGATGTATTGAATATGGATTGTGGTGAATTTTTTTTAATCCGTGGAGTTTTAAAAAAGTCAATGGATTTTTAAATCCATAGACTTTTTTATGAATGAATTCTATGGACTTTTAAATCCATGGATAAGTTTATTGACTTTCAAAAAGTCCATAGACTTTTAAATGCGGACCACCACTCCTGGTCGTCGAAATTTTCACCTAGACCGCCGCTCACGATCTGCCCGCCCGCCTCCGTCACTTGAGTTCCCCGCTGTCGTCATCGGACTGATCCGCCATCAACAAAGTCGATTTGGTTATGCAAGGGAATTAGGGACAATTACTTATATTAATTAATTAATTAAATTAGGGGTGAATATGTAATATTTAGTCCTATTTAATGAAAATCAAACATGTGATCATACTTTAAGAAGAATGCTACTCTGTATGTTTTAGTCCTACCCTGAGTAATTTCCTCTTTATAATACAGAGTATGATAAGAAACAAACAAACAAATAAACAAACAAACAAATAAATAAATAAATAAAACAAATGTAATTCATATAGCAACACAAAGTTCTACAAGAATAAATGAAGCATAAGAATCCAAATTTATTTTTATTAAAAAAACTCAAAGTTTCAAGAATGCTCAAGAATTTTGATCATTTTATTAATGAGTAAAAACATTAATCGTTACACAACCGTTACACTCATTACTACATGTGGTACAAGCATAGTTGTAATCAAGTTTTTCTTCTTAATAATTGTTTTCTTTTCATTTCTATCTTGTAAAATTTTGTGTACTTATTTACGGTTATATATTTATTAATTTAAAATTATATTTTTATGTGTTAGCGATTTAACGATGAAAGAAAATAATAGTTAAAATATTTATTTTCTTAATGGTTAAGTGACGACGTACCAGAATTGCACTGATGTAATATTATCGATTCTTATACCAGTTCTTCTTGAAACTTCTAGAATCGAACCAGTATGGGATTAACGAATCGAGGGGGTGGGGCAAGCTGAAGAAGAACAAGAACGGAAGGAGAGGGGTGGGGCGAGCTGGGCTGAAGAAGAAGAAGAAGAAAGATTGAAGGGGAAGGGGTGACTTGGATAAAGAAGAGGAGAGTTGGGGGGTGGGGAGTTGGGGACGGGATGAATAACCGATATAAGAAAAGTCCACAGAAATCTTTAGTGAGGAGAAGATATAATCGAAGAGAATTAATGTATTAAAAATGAGTTAAAAGTCCGCGAGAATCCATGATTTTAGAAATCCATAAGAATGAACGGAACTTTGAATATGCCTAGACTTTTATAGACTTTTAAAAGTCTACATTGAATACACCTAGACTTTTGTAGACTTTTAAAAGTTCACATTGAATACATGCCTTGCTGGACATAGCAGTTCTTTCCCCACATTTTTGGTTGGAGAAATTCAAAATCTTATTATGACTACACGTCTAAGGCCAACCGCAATCCATTCTGTCGATAAATAAAAATTTTCACCAATTTATACGTATTCACTCAATGAATATAGTTTTTCCTGCAATTCAGAACCGTCAAATTATATATCCTTACTTTTATTATTTTACATCGATTTTTGTCAAACTTATTTTTGCGAATAATTATGATTTTAAAAAGTAAACATTTCGATGTAAAAGTACGTAAATTTGGAGTTTAATATTTCTATTGTTATTTCAGATCTATTTTTGAAAAAATAACTAATAGATGTAAAAAGAATATTTTAACTATGATATTGGTGTCAAATGAAAGATAATAAAAAATTATAAATTTTGATATATTTTTTATAAAAATAGGAGACCAAATAAAAATGTTATAACACATTTAAAAAAAGAAGATTTTTTAACTTGGCTCCTACTAGCTGTCTGTGTCATCACTAGAGCATATCCTCTCTTTTCTCCGGATGTGCTTCTTCCAGCTAAGTCAATCGGGTGAATGAGGGGTGCCAAATCCCCGCACTTGACGTGCCAATGAACCACTTTAGCACCCTGTTATACATGGGTTGCACCTCTTTTTAAGGTGAAAAGCTTAAAATTAGCCTTTTCACCGTTGCAGGCAGCCTAAGAAGCATAGAAACTCGCATAACTCATGTTTTGATGTTTTCGAAAAGTTAGGCCTGTAAGAGATATTTCCAGTTTTTCAGAAAACGTGTTACCAAAAAAATTGCTGGAAAACTGGAGAAAGGAAAACAGAAAATTGCGTTTAACAAATCATTTTTAAAAACCAAAAAATGAGATATGTCTATGTTTTCCTTAATTAATTGGAGAAGTGACTTTTACTAGTTTTCTAAAATTGGAAAACACGTGTGCCGTTGTGCCGCTGCTATGAATTTGCATACTTACGCCTAGTGTTGGATCTGGTCCGGTCAACGACCCTACCATCCCTATATGGTCCGCTCAATGACCTGGCGGTCCAGTTCGGTCATTGACCTGACGATCTATGTCCGGTCCGGTCGATGGCCGAGCAATGCCGGTCCAGTCCGATCAACGACCCGACGGTCCCGGTTTGGTTGACGACCCGGTTGTCTCGATCCGGTCCGTTCCATGACCCGACATCCCCTGTCAGGTCCAATCAATGACCCCACGGCTCTGTCTGGTCCGATCCACGACAAGGCACAACTTGTTTAGTCCGATCGACGACCGGGCAATCCAGGTCCTATCCGGTCTAATCAATGACTCAACGGTCCCCGTCCGGTCCGGTTAATGTCCTGGCGGTCCCAGTCTTGTCCGGTCAACCACTCGGCTATCCCCATCCTGTATAATCAATGACTCAACGGTCCCCGTCCGGTCCGGTTAATGACCCGACGGTCTGTGCTCGCTCCGATCGACATTTGGGCAGTCTCGGGCTAGTCCCGTAAATGACCCGACGGTCCCTGTCTGGGCCGGTCAATGACCCGGCGGTTCAGTCTCGGTTTTTTGAAATCATTTTTTAAATTGAAGAGTTTTAAAAGAGCCGTTGAGTTGTCAACCAATAGGGAAATGAGAAAAGAATTCATCAAATTAACTGTTGAGAATAGAAAACTATATGTGGGACATAGTACCCCTACTTGGGTTGTGCTAGGTTTGGTTCTAGACTGGGACCGTACTTTTGGTCTTTTGGTCGGTCACAGAATCGGATGAAAATTGTATGAACATGTTTTCAGATTTGAAAACGGAAAACTAAAAAATGAAAACAAAAAAATTGGAGATCGAAACACCGGAAAATGAAAACAGAAAATTGGAGAACGGAAAACAGAAATAGAAAATTGGAAAATATCTCTTTTAGTAAACAGACCCTTACATTTCCATTTCTGTGTTGTTTCCCTAATCTTTTTGCATTTCACAAACATTGTTTTTTCCCCTTTTGATGGGATTTCTTGTTAGCAACTTGTGGTTTTTGTGCTACTTGTTGTTTTTTGTGGGTTGTCTTCCTTGCAATATATTGCATTTTAAGTTTGACTATGTACGATAATTTTATTATTTGAAGATAAACACTATTTTTCTTTGGCTATGCAGCAAAGTCTATATGAATAAATATGTGCATATACGAAAACAATATAAACATTTCCTTATGTTTTAAGACCTGTCATAGAGAGCAGGGAGAGCAGGGCCGGCTAGAGCAATTATGAGACCCTAGACGGTCATGCAGAAATTTTGTTTTAAATATGTTTTATTTAACCCAATGATATAAAAAATAGCAATTAAATATAAGTAAATTACATATAAAATACATCATATACTATTAACACAGTGAGAATATTCTTCGAAATCAGAAGATCAAAGTTGATGAAAAAATACAAAGAGCCCTAGAGGGAGAAGGTTTTGTGCTTACATACAACATACCGATCGATAGAGCCGGAAAGTGATTTCATGACCCAATCATTTCTTAATTTTTTTCTTTTTCTTTGTACATCTTGATTCATATTTTGTTTTCCAATCATCACAAAACATAAAATTTCATTCAAAATAATACTATCACTAAATATAAGTTAATGGTTCATAGATATAAATTTAATTCACTAAATTTAATCAAATATAAAAAATTATAAGTATGTTCAATATTTCGATGAATCAAAATAACAAATTACAATTTCAATTATTCAATGAGCATTCAAATATATTTAGAATACTCATTATCCTAAATCCCTAGCCCTACTGCCCTAGCCAACAAAGAAAAAAAAGGAAAAAAGAGCAAATAAGCCCACATACTAACCAAACAAGTCAAATAAGCCCTTGTATAAGAGACTTTGTCCCACCATCACCATTTGGGGCAGTTCGCGGTGGAATTTTTTGATCAATTTTTTTTGAGAATCTTATTCATCAAGTCTTGTATACTTATACCAAATTTCAGCTAACAATTAAACATGGAAGGCATTCAAATAAATTCTTGAAGATAACTGCACTTTTAACTGCGCAGTTATCTTCAAGAATTCATTTGAATGTCTTCCCGATTGAATTTTTAGGTGAAACTTGGTATGAGTAAACTAGACATAATGAATAAGATTCTAAAAAAAAAATCATCAAAAAATTACAAAGGAAACTATCCCAAATGTTGACGGCCGGACAAAGTCTCCTAAATAAAATTTAATAAGCTTATTTTATAAATTGGAGGCCCTTAAAATTTGGAGGCCCTAGACACTTGTCTAGGGTAACTCCCCCTATGACCGGCCCTGAGGGAGAGCAGGGGGCTGTGTGGAAAAGGAGGGTCCGAGACCCAAGGGGCTGTCGGTTTACTGCAGGCGGGAACGGGCTTGAGCCCACCTTCGTGGGCTGGTTGCGGGCTGCTTAATCAATATTTATTATTTTTAATTGGCTAAAGGGTTAAATAGGTACACGAACTAACTTAAAGTGTTCAATTAGCCCCTTATTTAGGAGGTTCTGTCCGGCCGTCGCCAATTGGGGAATTTCCCGATGGAATTTTTTGATGAATTTTTTTGAGCGTCTTCTTCATTAAGTTTAGTTTATCCATATCAAATTTCAGCTAAAAAATAAATCGGGAAGACAGTCAAATGATTTTCCGAAATGTACTGCGCTGTTTAACTGCGCAGTTATCTTCAAAAAATCATTTGACTGCCTTCCCGGTTGAATTTTTAGCTGAACTTTAGTATCGGTAAACTAGACTTAATGAAGAAGATGCTCAAAAAATTTCATCAAAAACTTCCACCGGGAACAGCCCCAATTGGCGACGGACGAGCAGAACCTTCTATATAAGGGGCTAATTGAACACTTTAAGTTAGTTCATGTACCTATTTGACCCTTTAGCCTTTTTAATTTTGCTGTTTTGTTTCCTATTTGGAGTTAATTAGAATTTCTATTATTTGTTTCCTATTAGGAGTTAATTAGGATTTCTGTTATTGGTTTCCTATTTGAAGTTGATTAGGATCTCTATTATTTTCTTTCCTAGTTGGAGTTGATTAGGATTTCTAGGATTTTGATTCCTAGTTTCATAACTAGTAGATGAGTATTTTTTATGGGTATTTAAACCCTTGTTAGGATTCATTCGAGCTCATCTTGGAATAAAATTGGTTTTAGCCTTTTGGCTCTGGGCAACGATATTTTTATCATTGATTATCTGGGCAACGGTTTACCCCGTTGATTTTATTTTTCTGTTACACAACAATTGGTCCGGTCTATTTCCATCATTTGCAATGGAGCCAAAGATTCATTATTTTTTGGCTTGAGATTATGATGGAATAAATCAAAATGGCTCACTAAACTGTCTGCGCTTCTTTGTAATGAAGCAGTCAGTCCATGCAATTTTGGACGCGATTTTCACTATGGGTCATCCGGAAACAGTCTCTCTGTGCTTTAGTATAGGGGTAAGACTGCGTACATCCGACCCCCCTTACCCCACCGTAGGTGGGAGCCTTTGCGGCACTGGGGTAAATGAAAATGATGATGAACAATTGGTCCGGTCTGCCGGATCCCGTCCCGCCAAGATGACGAGAACACAAAACGATCATTTGAGCGAACTGGAGGCCGAACAAACCCTAATTAAAGAGAAGTTTGATGCGCAAGGACTAAAGCAAGATGTGCAGGGACTGCTGCTGGAACAACATGGAGCCCTGCTTGCGGAAATCGCACCTCCCTGGCAGCGATCGCTAAGGCCATGGTGCCGCCAGAAAAGACGCCGACATCAGCCAGCGGCAACAGCTCTTCTGCGCATTTCGCTTTTGTGCACGTGATCGATGAAGGCTTGCGCAACACGACAACAACCTTGCTTCCCTCGTTCGACGGCGCAGATCCGATCGGGTGGATTGTTAGGGTTGAACAACAGTTCGAAATTAATCAAACCCTACATGAGAGGAAAGTGGCAGCAGCTACGGTAGCCATGGAAGGGGCTACCCTGTACTGGTTGACCTAGTTGAAGGCACGGAAACCAAGCCTGACTTGGGAGGAATTCAGAGATGCACTGGTGGCCCGTTTTGATTCACGGTTCAAGGGCAACCGATTTGAACGGCTGTTCGGGGCCAAATAGTTGGGGACCATAGAAGAATACAATAACCTTTTTGTGCACTTGGCCAGTCAGGTTCCTGGGCTGTCCGAGGATCATTATTTGGGGTATGTCATGAACGGGCTGAAGGGACCGATTCGGGGATCCTTACGATTGTTGCGGCCAAACAGCTTGAAGATTGCAATGCAATTGGCCAGAGACATTGATGTCCTTTCAAGATGGAGACTGGGAAAGTGAACCCTTCGACACGAACTTGCATTCGAGCAGTTTTTCGCGCCCAAGTGGCAGTAACACCAAGACCATAGGTGGTGGCAGCTTAAGAGGATCAAATGGCAGCTTTCCTAAAGACATTGGGCAGCCTTTGGGGACAAAGTCAGGGCTGTCCGGGCAGCCCACGACACGCTCTCAGTTCACTCGACTTCTGCCGAAAGAGTTTGCAGAATTGCGGGCGAAAGGATTATGCTTTAGGTGTAAGAAACCATTTACACCGGGGCATGATTGTCCCTTTAAGCAGCTGCGGGTAATGATAACCGAGGAGGATGAAGAGTTGGACCTCCAACAGCATGAGTACTGTGAAATAACCGGTCAGGAAAGGGTTCAGGAAAGAGAGGAAGGATATTTTCCAGTCTATTCTATGTCTGGAAATTTCAGTTCGCCGTCTGTGTGATTTCAACCTTGAGGACAAGGTTATTTTGAAGGAGGATGGATTGATAGAGAGCAGGGGGCTGTGTGGAAGAGGAGGGTCCGAGACCCAAGGGGCTGTCGGTTTACTGCAGGCGGGAACGGGCTTGAGCCCACCTTTGTGGGCTGGTTGCGGGCTGCTTAATTAATATTTATTATTTTTAATTTCCCTGATTTGTTTCCTATTTGGAGTTAATTAGAATTTCTATTATTTGTTTCCTATTAGGAGTTAATTAGGATTTCTATTATTTGTTTCCTATTTGAAGTTGATTAGGATCTCTATTATTTTCTTTCCTAGTTGGAGTTGATTAGGATTTCTAGGATTTTGTTTCCTGGTTTGAGAACTAGTAGATGTGTATTTAAACCCCTTGTTAGGATTCATTCGAGCTCATCTTGGAATAAAACGGTTAGGATATTTTTATTTTTCTGTTACACAACAACCTGTTTTCTTATCACATCTTCTCGTTTCAGGCTTTGTGGCACTGAGTTATATTTAATACTCCGTATATTGCACAATAAACAAAGGAGTAAAGTGTTACGAAATTCGAATCAGCTTTGATGAACGAAATAAAAATAAAATGAGATAGGACAGTGCAATAGTCTCTTTACCTAGTTTGTTTACTCTGAAGGGGAGCTACCTAGTCCAAGTCTTTGGAGCGGCTACTTGTCAAAATGATAAGGGACAGATTGCCCCCTATTCAACAGTACAACACCCTTGTGGCTGTGGGGGTAACTTCCCTGGACCCTCGCCTTGTGAGGGATACCAATGTGCCCTTTTTATCTATGTGTTACATATGAAATAAGTTAAATAGGGATGCAATCCTATGAACCAAAGGAAACGTGACATCTTTCCACAAAGTTGGGTTGCCATGAATGAGCTTTATTATCAAGTACTGCTTCATATCCAGTACGCACAACCCAACCCAACATGAGATAATGATTGCCACTGCCAGCCCCCATTGGTTCCATCCTATGAGTTATTGCACATTAGCGTTGTTATTGAAGCGGTAAAAGTTTTGTGTTCGGATTGCATCTCAGTTTTGATTTCCCTCTATTTAATTTGAAGAAAAAAAGGAAGAATAGCATCATTGAACTTTCTAGCTGCAATCCTTCATTTTTCTCAGTAAGCACTCTATAAATTTGTATTTCTGTTTTAACAGACTGAATGAAGCTGTCATGCATTTTGGAGAGAGCATTAAAGAAATCATTAATGAGGAGTTTGGTGATGGCATGTAAGTTTCTAGTTCTGGTGTTTTGGATTTTAGAATAATATATAGTTTTCATTTTTGGTTGTTTATCATATTTTATTTTAATTCTCAGCATGTCAGCTATAGACTTCTACTGCTCAGTTGATAAATTAAAAGGTGTAGATGGCAATGATCGTGTTGTTGTGACTTTTGATGGGAAATACTTACCATACAGTGAGCAGGTTAGTTTCATGTTGGTTGCCAAAATGGACTCACAGACATGCAAAACGATTATTCATTTATTCCCTGTTACAACCAAAACTCCCCCTCACTCTTTTTGGCGCGCTTTATTTGACAATTCACTATTTTAAGTTAAGTTAGCTGTTTGTATTAATTGCGGAGTAGCTGTTTTGACCAACTTTTTAGTTGCTTCTTCATACATGCATGTTTGATAATAGAAACAATAAATAAAAATATAAAAAACCAAGTTAAAATGTACGGAGTAATGGGAGCATATATACTTTTCTACTCATATCCTTCATGAACATTTTACATCTGAAAAACTAATCGTAAACAACTAAGTTACCAAACATTTGACTTCAATCCGCTAATGATAGCGACCGGTCAAAAGAACTAAAGTATCAGCTCGTGTCAATCCGTTGATATAATCACCTATAAACAACGACCAACTGCTGATTGACAACACCCCCATAGTAAACCGAAATGAATTTGAGTTCTTGGTTATATGTTAAACCACAATTGATGGCAATGATGTCCAAACTAGCTGTTTTACATTACGAGATTTTTCTTGTACAAATTTTAACACATGTTACTTTTGGATTGAGGCTGATCATTAGTTACTTCTTAGTTTCTTTGTTTTTGCTATGTGCTAATAGATTAGAAGAAATATTACTTTAAAATCTAGTTCGGCTCGATTTTATGATAGTGGTGTTCGTGTATGGGCTAAAAGCTCGACGAGCTGAGACTCGGGTTCAACTGGTAAAAAAAGAGTGCTCTTTGTGATATTGTGAGCTCGAACATTGGTCATTTTTGTCCATTTTCATGGGTTGACCACAAGGTTGCACATCAGATAGAACGAAACAATTTAAAAGCAGCATAGTTCTTTGCGAGAAACATTTTCATACAATGCAAGTTTTAGTAAATGCGTTTAACACATATGTACATATGTGTTTAATATATTCTTCTTCATACTGATTGTAGTTTAAGTACATTTGCATTTAATTATAAGCATATCATTCAGTTTGTCTTATTATTGTGTACTTATATCCGTCTTCTGACAGTGAGAGCACCTTGAATGCAGTTTTAGAAAACAATTCTTCTTAAACAATTTCATTCGACTATATTGATGCCATATATATTAGTTTTATCTCCTGACTCACTTTTTTCTTTGCGTTTTTTAGAAATCTGAGAACATGATGTCAAAACCGCAACCAAAAGAAGAGTAGGCCAGTAAACTAGTTTCTGTTGTACTTCTTTTCGTTGCTAATAAAATTGCCTGCGTGCTTTCCTGAAAAAAAGAAAAGTGAGCCTATTTTCATTGTATACAGTTATTATTACTTGCCTATATTTTATGTGTACGAATTGCTGACTGCTTTATCAGCATATTGTAGTTGGAATAAGCAACTAGTGTAATTTGTCTCAATATCTCTTGGGCAATGCCTAATGCTTTAAGATCATTACGAAAAAGGTGATATACTGAATATATATACTCCGTAGTAAATAGTAATACATACGGACTGGAGACCTAAACTAGAGGTGTTCTTATAAGTTTAATAAGTTACTAGGGATGACATGGATAAAAGTAATATAGAGTGGATTGTACGCATAGAGTTCGAGACTTGGCCGGAAATTGGAATGGTATTGTCGGTTGAAACATTTATATATATAGTTATTGTAAAGTTCTGAATCTTCCAGCTCAGTTCTCCAATTTCATCCACAAAGGATGAATAACACCACTATGATCACAAGGGGGGAGAGGGGCGTCAGCCAGCAGGCTATTTCCGGCCAAATATCTCCGGTGAACCCAAAAGAAAAGCTCGGACTGATTTTGGGGGATTAGGTTTCGGCGCTCCACACAAAACGGAGAAAGGAGAATTATTTATAAGCCAAGGTCAAAAACTCAGGTAAGGTAACTTCAACAAGGAAAGAAGGCGGAAGGGAGGATATGCGCAGGGCTAACGAGGATTGAATAGAATCGGTAAGTCCAACCCTGGGCCGGGTACAACCAAAGAATAAATGGGCTTACGGAAATAGTTGGGCCAATACCTAACACATTCTCCACCTTATTGGACCATAGTGGCTTAGAGTAAAAACTCAAACACAAACATGAGACTCATCATCGCTGGATTGCCCGAATGATCACAAAGACACATTCAGGCAAAAGGGGTAAGATCATCAGGCAACTTATCCACAATCAATGTTTAATGTGCGTTTGCACGACAACAACTTTTCGGCAGAGAGACATTTAGTCCCCATGTCAGCAGGATGCCAGGATTAAATTCAGACGGAATTTTAATCAACTTGATATCACCTGCACTAACAATATCACGTATAAAATGAAATCTAACATCAATATGCTTAGTTCTATCATGAAAAACAGGGTTTTTGCACAGTTGAATAGCAGATTGACTATCAGAAAACACACAAATGTCTTGCTTAAGACTACCAATCTCCCTTAGGAGACGTTTAAGCCAAATGGCTTCCTTAAACGCTTCGGTAGCGGCCACATACTCGGACTCAGTAGTGGATAGGGCAACAATGGGTTGAAGTTGAGACTTCCAACTAATGCATGACCCGCAAAGAGTAAACACATAAGAGGTAGTGGATTTCCTATTGTCTCTATCGTTAGCAAAATTCGAATCCACATACCCACTCAACTTAACACCCTCAGAGCACCTAGTGAAAACCAACCCATGATTAACAGTAGATTTCAAGTACCTAAGCAACCACTTAAGAGCATTCCAATGAGGCAAACCAGGATTAGACATATACCTACTCAAACAACTAACATCATAGACAATGTCGGGTCTAGTACTCACCATGAGGTACATCACAGACCCAATAACATTGGAATAAGGCACATATTTCATTTTAACAATTTCAGGAGCAGTCTTGGGGGACTGATCCTTACTTAACACAAAGTGGGACGCCATAGGAATAGAGACGGTAGTAGCATAATGCATGTTATATTTACTCAAAATCTTTTCAATGTATGAAATCTGATTGAGTACTAACACACGCTTACTCCTATCCCTAACAATGTTAATGCCTAGGATCCTCTTGGCATCACCTAGGTCTTTCATTGCAAAGTTCTCACTGAGACGCTTTTGCACACCTTTAATGGCGTCATCCGAAGGACTAACAATCAACATGTCATCCACATAAAGCAATAAAAATACAGGCACAGAAGAAGTATTTTTAAAGTATAGGCAATGGTCACACTCGGACTTGTGAAATTTCAAAGATGACATGCACTGGTCAAATTTGATATTCCACTGCCTCGGGGACTACTTCAGGCCGTACAAGGCCTTCCTAAGCAAACACACATGATTACTCTTCATGGGATCCACAAAGCCCTCAGGCTGGGTCATAAAGATTTTCTTGTCTAAATCACCATGCAAGAAAGCAGTGGTGACGTCCATTTGCTTCATTTCCCAATCATTATGAGCAACAAGAGCAAGCATCATTCTAATCGTAGTGAATTTAACAACAGGAGCAAAGATTTCAGCATAATCAACACCTTCCTTTTGAGTAAAACCCTTAGCTACTAACCTAGCCTTATATCTAATGTCGTTAGGCTCTTCCTTAACCTTAAATAGCCACTTACACTCAACTACGGAACTATTGGGCGGTCTAGGAACTAACGTCCAAGTCTTATTCGCTCTAAGTGACTCCATCTCACTCTCCATGGCGCAAAGCCATTTAGCGGACTCATTAGACTTAAGGACCTCCCTATAGGTTTTAGGTTCGTTAAGCTCAAGGGTCTCAAACACAGAAAGGCAAACTTAGAAGTATCACACGCATGGAAAGCAAAATCAGGCATGCTATCAGCAGTTCTCCTAATTTCTCTCCTACTTCTATCTCTAACAAGTTGGTAATCATGCAAATCATTATCACTAGAATCGGCACTCTCATCATGCGATTCATTGTCATTTGAATGCACATGAGAATGCTCCACCTCACTTGACGTGGTGGTATTATCATGCTCAGAAGAATCATGCAATTCAGAAAAATCATGCAATTCAGAAGAATCATGCAAATTAGAAGAATCATGATTAGCAAACAAAGGACTAGCAGCATATGGTATGGACTCCACCTCAACAGGTGTACTACTAGGGCTCGACTCAGAATCAGGAACTGACTTAACCAGACAAGGGAACTCGGATTCATTGAAAACAACGTTTCTACTTACCACAACCTTGAAACCTACCTGGTTCCTATCCCAAACCCTGTACCCCTTCACACCCTCAGGATAACCTAAGAAGACTCCTTTCTTAGACCTAGGATCCAATTTGTCACCTTGTTGGTGCACATACGCAACACACCCAAACACTCTAAGATTAGACAAATCAAGGGGCTTGTTTGAAAAAACAGATTCAGGGCATTTCCCACCCAAGGGAACAGAAGGAGACCGGTTAATCAAGTAGACAGCAGTATTGACTGCTTCACCCCAAAACTTTTTAGACAAACCGGAGGTAGGAAGCATACTCCTAACCTTATCTAGAACAGTCCTATTCATTCCCTCGGCTATCCCATTTTGTTGGGGAGTATAGGGCACAATTTTGTGCCTTCTAATCCCACAATCAACACAGAGTTGGTCCATATCCTTATTGCAAAACTCTAATCCATTATCGGTCCTAAGGGTTTTGACCATCTTACCGGTTTGATTTTTTACAAGGGTTTTCCACTCCCTGAATTTCACAAAGACATCCGACTTATGCTCAAGAAGACGGACCCACACCTTCCTAGAAAAATCATTGATAATGGACAGAAAATATCTCTTACCCCCGTGGGTAGAGACACTAGCAGGACCCCACACATCTGCATGAACATACTCTAACACAGAGATACACTTAGTGGGATTAGGATAAGGGGAAGAGGGGAATGTAACCTTATGTTGCTTGCCTAACACACAAGATTCACATAAAGGGATGGAGGACACAGAATCCTTACCAAAACAGCCAGATTTATGCAAAATCTCTAAACCCTTATTACTCATGTGTCCTAATCTATTATGCCACAAAGCAGTTTTATCAGAACTAACAACATGATCAGAATCACAGAAAGGCTGAGCATGACACACATGCAAATTATTCACCTTTTTTGCTTTAAACAAAACAAGGGAATTTTTCAAAACTTTCATGTACCCATTTCCCCATTTACCCTCAAGCCCACTACCCTCAAAAGCAGCGACACAAAACAAGTTATGACGCAAATCAGGGACATGCCTCACATTTTTCATAGTAAACACAGTCCCATTATCAAACTTCAAGCATACATCACCCACCCCATGTATTTTGCATTTCTTATTATCAGCAAGAGACACAAAACCATCATTGCAAGAATCATAAGAAGCAAACAGAGATCTAAAAGGTGTCATATGATAAGTACAACCAGAGTCAATTAACCACTCATTTTCAGTCATGCTACTCAACACAGAATTTGCAAAATCATAGACCATAAAAACTTCTTCATGCAAGTTATTATCATCTACCACATTAGCATGTTCAGACTTCTTAGGATGGGGACAATCCTTAATGAAGTGACTAGAATTAGCACAATTATAGCACACTCTCTTCTTAGACTTACCTCTCTTCTTCCCCGGGTCATTGTTATTGGTCTGGTTCTTATGTTGCTACCCTTCTTATGGTTTCTAGATCTACTCTTAGACCTACCCCTCACAAGCAACGCTTCACCAGAGTCCCTAGATTGACTGTTACTACCCCTCGAGTGTCTAAGGTCTAACTCCTTACTCCTTAACCCATTAACGACTATATCTAGCGTGATATCGTCTCTACCATACTTTATGGCAGATTTGACGTCATTGTAAGAGTCAGGGATGGCATTAAGCAACGCTATGGGTGTGTAGTCATCTATGTGTTTATCGCCGACTTGCTTAATGTTCTGAATAAGCTTGTTAAACACATCTAGGTTCTCATCTATGTCCTCAGTCAGGTCAAGCCTAAACCTAAAGAATTTCTCAAGCAAAAACAATTTACCAGGCAAAGAAGTATCGGTATACAACTTATCTAACTTGTCCCACAACTCTTTTGCAGAATCTATGATACCCACCTTCCTGAGCACTGAATCAGAAAGGTTTAGGTAAATAGAGGAACAAGCAGTTTCATTCATTTCAACGCGCTTGGTAGCATCCTCAGAGTCTAAATAGAGACCGGTCACAACTCTATAGACTTTCTGTTGGATCAACACGCATTTGATTTTCTGTTTCCAGATATCAAAATCTGTCTTTCCGTTAAATGGAAGCATGCCATATTGATTGACAGCCATATTAACCGGAAAGCAAGCACAACACGCAAGAGAGTAAATAAAAATTTATCAGGCTATCAACCGGTACGAAGCAACTAGCACGAACAAACCTAGAAGACCAATGAACACAAAGCTCGGGTACAATCTCCTTGTTCTTTCGTACCGTACGAAGCAACTAGCACGAACAAGCCGAGAAGACCAATGAACACAAGGCTCGGGTACAATCTCCT